CTTGGCCTCTCTTCATTGTTAGTACTTTGCTCACAGTCGAGGTTTAGGAGCGTTTTGCTTTTCTGTCGATACCATCAGCAGGGCAGCAGCAAGAAGTGAACCACTCAACAGAATGACCATCGCCGACCGCATTGTCGAGTCCGACTGCGTGCAGTTTTTTAGTCTCACCGTTCACCGTATCTTTGCAGCACACGACCCAGTACCCGCAGCAAATGGCTGCCGAAATAAACGAAAATACAAGATGATGAAGTCGGCGTAAAGTCGACTCCGCAATTCGACCTCTATCAACAGGCTATTCTCCCTTTCGAGGAGCTTAAACAGCCAACCCAACTACGAGACTCTGACGCTCGCAACGGACGCCTGGTACCATGATGAATGTTTTTCTGTCATTTGATCAGAATGCACGTCGACTGCCGCCGCAATTTGGTGGTGCATCGCGACAATTGAAAACCAGAAAATGTCCCACAACGGATCGCCCACATCCCACCACATGCCCTTTACCTGTTTTTATGGCTCGAAGTTGTACTCTCATATTGTTCAAGTTCAATATTTTTGTCCCCTTTTGTTCTTCCTTCACTAGACTGTCATTCGACGGTCATGGTTTTCAGCTCACCAGACCGCACCAATGTCTGGTTTTGTGTTTCTTCCAGCACCGCCCGAATTAGAACATGATATTTTCATGTTTCATTTCTTCCACCCCCACAATGCATGCTTTGCGATTTGCTTTCGTGCGTACGCCGTACGACGTACAGCCAATCCCGAGACAGGCCCGGTGATCGACAGTTGAACACATGCTTGACAAGAAAATATGGTAGTTTTACCATCCGTCCCTGTCAATGTGTCTCCATTTAACGGTGGCTGCGACATCCAAACCGGACTCAAAATACGACGTGGAGAGTACGTTTCTTCCGACATCCATCACGCCACCTGCGACGTGCTCGATACAGTCGACTTCCGTTCTATGCATCACGCCGTGTCGGTCGTCGTCTCCATTTGTCGTCTCCGTGTCCAATTACATCTGAACCAGACCTTGGCATTGTGTGGCTCCAACGGCATTTCTTGTTGTGGCCAGACCTGGTGGTTCCCCTTCCCCACCCACTCCTTTACTCTCCTGACTGCTACCCTTCGTCCTTATCACCCAGTCACACCTTGCTCGGGAATTGTCCTGGCCGACGTGATCGTTTCCTCTCCCCAGACGCCCCGTCGAGATTTGATGATTCTGCGCAGTCACTAACAACGGCCCCCAATCCAACAACCCCAAATGCCACCCCGTACGGAGGAGTGGCCTCGAAATATGACCAATCCGGCCATTTGGTTCGCGGAGACCTACAGTTGCCGAGGAAGATGGCATGCGAGGCACGGAAAACGGAGTCGCATTGCACCCCTACGAAATACACTCTTGCGAGTTGCTCGCTTGGCCGCTTGATCGCTTGCTCGGCTGACCTGACGAAGGAGACTGCCCCAGTGTCATTTCATTTTGACAAGGCTCCATCCGTACCACCCGTTTTGTCCATCTGGGCCGCCAACATACGACATACAACATACATACGCCGTAATATACAGAGTACTTTGTCTCGTAACGGACAGCCAACGGGCAGCACGTCGCCGTGTTTGGCGGCCGAACGCCGTGCTCCGTACGGCGTTCTTTGCAAGGCTTTCGATCACCGGTGCTCTCTGCCGTGCCCGGCTGCCCGGCTGCCCGCGGACGAGGCCATTTTCTGTGCGCCTTACTAAAGTGCTGAACAAAGGGTGATCAACCTCATGTTGTCGGTCCCGTGGGCTGGGTTCTGACGACCGGAGCGAATTGAAATTGAACTTCCGAATCGAGGTATATTCTGCGTCTGTCCCAAAGCTCCCCGTTCCCAAATCCCAAGCTCGCACGATCCCAGCTTGTTCACTCGACGTTTTGCCTAAGTTGGTAGCACCGAGCCCCATATGAAAATAGAAAAAAATGCAATCGGCCAGATACTGAGGCAATACTGGGCCGATCGTTGCCCCTTCTGCTGGGGCCACAACTTCTGGAAACAGAGAAGCCTGAAAAAGGAAATAATATAATATATATTTTTGTAAAGCGTGAATGTATGAATATACAGGACGTTAGAAACGGCCCAAGAGAGGAGGGGCATGCTCGGCACACAAAAAAGATCATATTGAAGCTGAGGAGAGGTACACAGGCAATGTGTGGACACGCCTGTAAGACGGTGCAAGAGTGGTCCGGCCTCTGGACAGCGTCGAGCATTGGGAGCTGACGGACGAGGACGAGCAACGGGTGCAGGTGGATATCCTATTGCCCCGACACACAAACAGAGTGACTTTTTTGCTGCGGTGCAACGACAGCAGATTGTGCAGGGGATGACGAGGGAAACTAAGAACACGCAGTGGACAGGGCACGGCATAAGGGGAAAGGTGCAGACCAGAAACAGAGGCGTTGCAATGAACACGGAGATGCCTGCTGGATGGGCATGCGACGTGTGGGTAGAGGGACTTTTTTTTTTTTTCTATTATGTTCTTTTTAGAAAAAGGCATGCAGTACGGAATCCTGCAGTTATACGCATGCAAAGGTGGGCATTGAGGGCATAAAAACACACACTTGCACAAGAAAAGTGAAGGGTTTTTTTACTGTACAGCGACAAGAGTGGATGCGAAGAGAAAAACAAAAACGTCGGGGAACAAATCCTTAAAGATGTCATATTTCGACCGGCAGATTGTACAACCCACCACATCAAACTGGAAGAAAAAAAAAGAAAAAAAAACATAAACAAGCCCCGCGAGGTGAGGATAAACCACAAGAAAAACGAGGGGTGTGCATCAATCAGAACATCAACGTATCCAGACGACATTTGGTCCTCCCTGCTCGTATTCACTGCGAGGGAAAAGAAAAAGAAAAAGAAAAAGAAATTAAATAAATAGGAAACCCACCCAAAAGAAGCAATACGAGTGCTGGATCTTGGGCATGAACAAGAGGGGTTGTGGGTTGTTCGATGCACGAGTGCAGCGAAGGTTTGGCCTACAAACGAGTTCATGGCCATCTCTCTACGCCGTTGGCATTGACCATCGTCTGCATCTCGTTGGCTCGCGTTTCCTCTTCCTCCCTATTTTGCAAAAGAATCAGTAAAACAGCTAGTTTATCTCACTGCAGCAAACTCAGTGAGCTCTGGTCTTTCTTTTCTTTTTCCATGTTCTTCTTCGTCGCCCCCGCTTTCTCGCCATTTTTTCCCTGTTCTCTCTTATGCATGCACGTCGATAGTGCGTCAAAGATTACTGGAAAAAGAAACGAAAAATGCTACCGGAAGCCATCCGCAGCGTTTCTTGTTGTTTCTCGCTTTGACCAATTTATTTTATTTTATTTTTGTTAAAAAAGTGCATTTGTCCGGACCAATCTTCTCTGCGCAAACTAAAACAACAAACGAATTATTTATTTCTTCCCACTCACATCGTAGGGACTGCCCCGAACTGGGCCCGGATCACGTATGGCAGACATTTTTCTGCCAATAATGATCGTATGTTGAAATGCCTTTTGAATATGCCCTTTCTTCCTCTTCTCCTCCGATAATCTCTTTTTATCCTAAAGCACCGTAAGACCCATTTTGTACGGTCTATTACTGGTGGTGCAACTGCGATTACCTCAACGCAGCATAGACCCTCCTGTCCTCGCATTTCGCTTGCTTGCAGGGGACGGAGGACAACGCAGCGTCCTGCTAACCCAATTTGTTGTTACAATACACACACACAGCGGGAGCTTGCACTAGCACGATTGCACCCGTTTGCAACTGTTTGAGTCTGCCGTAATACGTGTCTTCGTCATACGTGTCTCCGTAGTATGTGTCATTGTGGTCTACCGGAACATGGGAGGACAACAAGCCGTGCAAACAAACGGACCCGGCAGGGTAGACTGGGTAGGAAAAGAGACAGAAGAGGCAAAAGGACATGAAAAAAACAAGGAGCACCTCTGAATAGGCTTTGCCTTTCCGGGATCTGCTGCTGTGTCTGGACGGTTCTACATTGTGAGCGTTTGATATCGAGTGCCCATCATCTTCCTTGCCCTGCGGGTGGGCTGCAAACCCGACATTACTGGTAAATGGGGGAGGGGGAGGGGGAGGGGGGAGGAGGGTCTCTCTCTCTCTCTGTGTCGCTCTCTCTTTTCTCCCTGTTTGGCTTTAGTGGTCATGGTATATTGCTTTTGCCGGAAACAGTACCTTGTCATGCACTGGTCTTGGGTAGCACTTCCTGATGCAACGCCGTAAGAGAAGGGAACAGAGGTTGGCAAAAAAAAAGGAGAGGGAGACGGGAAGGAAGAAAAGGGACGGAGCAAATGCAAACAATGGCCGCAACGGGATGCACCAACAAAACGACCAACAAGCCAGAAGATGAAGAGAAGCACCCAGAAGCAGCCAAAACGAAACGAGACAAAACACACGAGGCAAGAGGCAGAAGCAAAAGACAGCGAGCTACGTAAGGCGGGCAGCTGGACACGACTGGGTGGGCAACACATAAAAGGGGGCATTTCCAGGGGAGGCAAAGTAGAAGTAGTTCAGGACCAGCCCTTTTCAGAGATATACACCAGCTGTTTTAAAACATCTTTGTGTGTATCGCCATTTGCTTTTTTCTGGAAGGTTGCCTTTCGTTTTCTTTCTTCGTTGTCATGGGGGAGGGGGGTCGTTTAAAGAAACGTACAGGTTCGTAACGTTTTGCTCAATGTTCAAGAGTAGGTGAGATCACAACGCAGTACCACCGAAACTTCAATGATGGTGATAAATGACTGTACAGTAGATACAAAACGCAATGGAAACAACCATGCAAATGATACACAAAAGAAAGACAAAAAGAAAGAAAAACAACCCCAATATCCATCCTATCTGGACTTTAGCTTTGCGCCAAATATGTCAAATATTTTACTTCCCGTCGTCTCCTCCGAGACACGAGACTGTTTTTTCTCGTATTTTTCTCACCACTTTTCAACGCCAGCCGAGCCAATGGATTGAAAAGGCTCCTCTCCCTCTTTAGTCCGCCAGGCCGGCCTGCTTCACGAGACCGTAGAATAAGCCGCGGCTCGAAATCAGCTCCTGTGGCGTGCCAAACTCAGCCACCTCGCCACGCTCGAGCACGACCACGCGGTCACTGTCGAGGATCGTGTTGATGCGGTGTGCCACCGTGATGATGGTGCGGTTGGCAAACAGCGGCGACCGCAGCGTCGCCTGCAGCATCCGGTCCGTCTCGACGTCCACCGCAGCCGTGGCTTCGTCCAGCACCAGGATGTTGGACGGCGTCAATAGCGCACGCGCCAGCGACACCAGCTGGCGCTGGCCCTGTGATAAGTTGGAGCCTAAAGTGTGGGTTAGCAAACAAGGCCAAAGTAAAAAGAAAAAGAAAAAGAAGAGCAACAACAAGACACAGGAACGCAACCGCAGGCACAACATCTGCGCTCGTAGATGCTCGCTGCACTGCCCGCCATTATCGTATCGCTTCAGCGTGTCACACAAAGTCACTGTCTCTTGCTTTGTACTCCTCTTGGCCCCCCACCCGCGTCCACTCCAGTTGTGTCGTGCACAATCTGGACACACACCCTCTTTTGGTACGTCCATCTTTTGTGTCGCATCCCCCCGTTCTTTTAGGCATGTTCGCTGGGGCGTAACGTGCAGAAAAGACGGTGACGCCATGCTCGCACAACAGGATGTCGCTGCATCCTTTATGAAGTCATATGCCCCGTGAGACCAACCCCCGTAGACAGAGAGGACGGGTCGGGAAGCGAGGCAAGAGAGGCGTTGAGACGCTGGATCGTTGGGACGTTGGGGGCGACCAGATAGAAAGAACGACAAAAAAAAAGGCGAATGATCAAATAAATCAAAAATAAGCAACGGCAAAAGGCCAAAAACACCTCTACTTACCGCCTTCGTTAATCTTGGCCTCGAGGCCACCGGCCATGGAGGACACATGGTCCTTGAGACGGGCGTGCTCGAGAACGGTCCAAAGCTCCGTGTCGTCATGCACATGGGCCGGGTCCAGGTTGTCACGGACTGTGCCCTCGAAGAGTGCTGCATCCTGAGGGATAATCGCCAACCGACGCCGTAGGTCCAGCAGGCCGATTGTCGATGTGTTGAGATCATCAAGCCGGATGTGGCCCGTGTCCGGCTCGATGATGCGGAACAGCGCCAGCGTCAGAGACGACTTGCCGGCGCCCGTCCGGCCTACGACGCCAATCTTTTCATGCGGCTTGATGTCGAGGCTGATGTTCTTGAGGACAAGGTCCAAGCCCTCGCGGTAGCGTGCGCTGTAGTTGCGGAACTCCACCTCGCCGTGTGCCGGCCAGCTGACTGGCGGGCGGTTGCGGTGGATAATCTCGGGCGCCTCGCTTGGCAGAGCCGCGTACTCGAGCACGCGCTCCACCGAGACAATGTTGGTCTCCACCTCGACCGACTGGCGCACGATCCAGTTCAGCGACGTCGTGATCTGCAGAGCGTACGACATGGCCAGACCAACCATACCTTCATCCAGGCCGCTGTGGTTGGCAACCGAGATGACCGCGAAGCCGGCGGCCGCCAGGATGACAATGGCGCCGATGAACTCGAGGCGCACCGCCAGCCAGCGGTTGGAGCTGATGGACGGGTAGAAGGCACGCAGGTTGGCATCCATGCGCCACTCGTTCTCCAGCTCGAAGCGCGGCTGCTGCCGGTACGCACGAATCGTCTGCACACCGCCCAGGGACTCCTGGAAATGCGCGTAGATGGGGGAGCGCGAGACGCTGTCGAGCCGCTTGAGTTCGCGGGACGTGTACAGGTAGTAGCGCTGGATGAAGACGTACATCAGGCCGAGCGGAACAATCAGGGCCACAAACGCCGGTGTCGTAACAGAGATCACACCGAGCGTGAAGCCCGAGCGGGACAAGTTGACAAACAGCATATTGAACGTCCGCGCGAGAACCTCGTCAACACGGTAAATGTCGCTCGAGAAACGGTTCAGAATGCGGCCAGCGGGCGTGACGTCGAAAAAGGACATGGGCGAGCGGAAAATGGCCTTGGCCATGCGCTCGTGCAGCTTGCGTGAGGCCTCAATCGAGCAGAAGATCCAGAGGATGAGGGTCTGCGCCACGGTCAGCAGTGCCGAACCGATACCAAAGGCAAAGTAAATGCCAATGTACTTTCCGACCTGCGAGTTGGTGCCGTCCTTGAGGTTGTGGTCTGCCCACTTCTTCAGCCAGTAGTTGGCGCCCAGGCTGACGAGCTGGGACGAGACCAGGGCGGTAAGATAGACAATAACGGCGAACATGTTGTTGGTCTTGGCGTATTCCAGGTACACCTGCCACTTGACCTTGCCCTGCTCACTGTGCTCTTTGGCCTGCTTGGTCTTGCTGCCAGCAGCCTCCTCATCGGTAAGCTTGCCGCGCGGCCCGTGGAAGCTGGCCGCGCTGGCACGGCGCAGTGTAGCCATGCTCTCGGTGCGCGCCTTCTTAGGCGAGGTAGACGTTGGACCGGGCTTGATGCTCTGAAGGGCAGCGAGGCCCTCCTGCGCCTCTTCAATTTCGTCGTCCTTGAGAGGGGTGCCCGGGTCAATGACAGTCGAGGTCTCGCTTTCCGAATCGGTGCTCGAGGACGAGCCGGTGGCACCGGCCGAAGACGGGCCCGACTCAGATTGGTTGGCCGTCTTGATGAGGTCGTGAACGAGGCCCTTCATGGCAACGAGCTGGCGGTAGGTTCCATTCTCGACAATCTCGCCGTCGCGCAGCATGTAGATGGAGTCGGACTCGAGCAAGACGGGAATCGAGTTGGTAGCAAGAATTCGCGTCTTCGAGCGCAGGAGACCCTTGGGGCCCAAGACGTTGTTGATCAGGTGGCGGCCGACATGCGAGTCGACTGCAGACAGCGAGTCATCGAGCAGGTACACGTCGGCGCGAGCGTAGACGGCACGGGCAAGCGAGACACGGGCCTTTTGGCCGCCGGACAGCGAGATACCGCGCTCCCCGACGACGGTCTCGTCACCGTCCGGCAGCTGGGCAAAGTCGTCGATCAGCGCACAGGCCCGGACGGTCTGGTCGTAGAATTCGGCATCGAAGCGGTAGCCAAAGACGATGTTCTCCTTGACGGTGGCATTCATAATCCAACTCTGCTGGGCGACGTAGGCTACGGTGCCGGCGACCTGCACCTCGCCGTTGACCTTGTACAAGTCGCCCAGAATGCTCTGTAGAAGCGAGGACTTGCCGGCACCAACGCGGCCGATGACGCACGTGAGTGAACCCTTGTCGGCTGAGAAAGTAATGTCGGTGAGCACGTTCTTGTCCTCGTGGCGGTTCCACGAGAAGTTGCCATTACGGATCGAGACGGACTCCTCGCCGATTTCCTGAGCGGCAGGGCGGGTCACAACAGCGTCGGACTGGACCTCTTCGGCCAAAAAGAAATCCGTCAGACGGGCCACGGCAACACTGGCCTCAACAATGGAGGTGATGACCATGGGCAGCACAGCCAGCGGGAAGGACAACAGGTTGAACAGGGCCAGTGCGGGGAAGATGATCCCCGTGGTCAGAGGCTCGTCGCGGGTCAGGACAAAGGACGTGAAAGTCATGCACGACACGAGGAAGGGCGTCGTGTTCCACATGAACGTGGCACCAGCCTGAGTGGCGCCGATGCGGCGCAGGTTCTTGAGCTCGAGATCGTTGCGGACGTAGTTGAGCTTGTTCATAAAGGCAGCGCCCCATGCGTAGAGCTTGATGCTCTTCATGTTGTTGATGATCTCGGCAATGAGACGGCTACGAGCGTCCTTGTTCTTCATCTGCTGTTTCTGCAGGGTCTTCATGGCACGGGCAATGAGACCGTTGAGCGGAATCATGACGATCATGATGGCAATACCCGCCAGCATGTTCCAGCCGACAAGCTGGTAGAGCGAGTACATGCAGATGCAGATCTGGAAGGGGGCAGACCACAGCTGGTGAGCAAACTGGGTCAAGTCCTGGAGACGCTGGACGTCGACGGCCATGTAGTTGACAATGTCGCCGGTGGTCTTGGTAGAGCGGCCTTCGTTGGACAGCTTCAGGGCCTTGCGGTAGATGGAGGAGGTCAGGCCGCCCTTGATGCGCATGCCCGACACGAAGGTCAGCTGGAAGTACTGGTGGATCATGATGGTCTGGAAGGTAGCAACGCCAAACATGGCAAACGCGATGACAGCGCCCTGGATGGCAGGCTGCGGTTCGGGCGTCTTGTAGGACGCGACAAAGGCGATGAGAAAGCGCAGCAGCTGTGGCTGGGCAAAGGCCGAGAGATCGTTGCCAATCTTGAAGAGGGCGGCCATGGTGTAAGGCCCGCCGTAGGCGCGGAAGGCGGCGATCCAGAGCGAAGGACGGGCCTTCTTCCCCACCTCGTGCTGCCATGCCTTCTCAAACGAGCTCCCCGTCTGCGAGGTGCGGTCCTGGGTCTCGAGGCCCCAGAGGTCTTCCTCCACCAGGTACTGGCTGTAGCCGTAGCGCATGAGTGGGGTCATCCAGCTGAACGTCAGGCGCGAGAAGATGGTGGCGTACTCGGCCGGGCACTCCTCGCCGTCCTCGAGAGCCTCGTAGGCGCTGGGCTTGTGGGGCGCGAGCCACTCAACGAGGAACTCGGCAATGGTCAGGCCAAAGCCGACGGAGTAGGTGACAAAGTAGGGCAGGTTGGTGTTGTAGATCTGCTGCGAGATGAGCGAGCGCAGCTTGACGGTCAGCGCCAGGACAAGCAGCAGCCAGTAGAAAAGCACGACACCGTTGGCATTGCGCAGGCGCGGGTGCTCAGCCCACTGGATGGCAAAGACAACGGCGAGCGAGAGGATGGTGACGACGGTAGTCCAAGGCCGGAAATCCTGGAACCAGACGTCTGGGAAGCTGGTGACCTGGATGATAAACTGAGCCACAAAGTCGGCAATGACGAGGCCGAAGAGCGACTGTTTAATCCAAAAGGTACCGTCCTTGGCCAGGCCGTTGGAGGGCTTCTTGGCCAGCAGCCACCATAGGGCCAGCGCACCAGCGACGATTCCAAAGACGGCAACGCTGGCGACGCCGACATCGAGGAAGCAAGGTGTGAAATCGTAGCGGAAAGGGCTCAGGGGACCCCAGCCCTCAATGTTTCGGCAAAAGGTTTGGTCGGCTTCGGCGGACGCGGACAAATAGTCGCTTCCAAGCTGCTTCTGGGGGCGGTAGCCGGAGAAGGAGCCGGACTGGGCCATGACCTTTTGGTCGTCGTCAAAGAAGATGGGGAACAAAGGCTGTTCCTCCATCGTGGCGGCTGTTGAGTTGCTCGTCTTATGTGTCGTCGTTGTCTTATCGCAGAATCGAAAAGTCGACCACGAACCTCCGGGTTCGGCAGCCGGCAACGCCAAGCCAGCCGACGGGGCGATCGGAAATACAGTCGTCGGGCGCACACCAAGGCCACACGAATCGTAGCCGGCAATATGTAGACCCAGAGACGGCGTGCGTGCTGCGTGCCTATTGCCTCCTTTGCGGCAAAGTCGACCAGCTCGCGGAAGTCGGTCGGGTAAAGGGTCGGCGGTCGGCACGGAGCTGCATGCGGGTGGGCAAAACGCAATTCCGTCTTACACAGCCGCTGAGACAGAGCACCGACGCAATTGGGCGGTGGTCCGGTGTTGGGTTTGCGTGAGGGAATGCCCAGGCCTGCGAGTGAGAGTTGGTGAAAACGGGAGACACAGAGGAACAAAAGGACGAGACAAGAGAACGAGACAGGAGCAAAATAGACGAAGAAAATAAAAATGGGGAACGTGCAAATGGAGTAGCTGCGAACGAGCTTCGGAGGCAAGAGCACAGCGAGGTAATACAGCGCAAACCGCAGGTACGACCGTGTTGAAAAGGCAGGCACCTCCGTTTTTTCTCATTCACGCTGTAAGCTTTCTCACCTGTTTTTTTCTTGCCTTCTTCGAGGAAGTCGCGCGGTGTTCGGCCTAGTTAGGGCCGCTAAGCCAAATGCGCCACGCGCTCCTCCAACAAGATTGCTGCTGCTGTAAAATATGGGGGCATTTCAATGCCGGCAGGTGCAGGTGGAGAGCGGATGACGACGTAAAGCTTCTGTAATTACAGTAGGTATCCTACTCACGGAAAGCGCCTGGAAAACAGTTGAAGTGGAAAGGGCCTAGAGGCGTAACTTGCCTCACCGCCTTGCTTTATGCGGAAGGCGCGCATTATTAATCAACGCACGATGCCCACCCATCTCACCCATCTCACCGGTGTTAGCTGCTTTTTCCCCGGTAAGACTCTGCAGAAGCAAGGCTGCAGCAGCCGACGTCAGTGGCTGCCTGCAGATGACCCTTAACGCAGCGAATGGCAAGCAACGAGATACGAGTGACGATCGTGTAATATGGAGTAAGTAGTGCAGTGGATGCAGGAACAGTGTGGATAAGTTGAGTATTGGAAGGCCTGTTTCATAACGCAAACGGGAATTCTACAAAATCTTTTATAAAAACAGTGCTCACGATGCGGCGTGCGAGGAAGGACATGGCTGTGAAAATGTGAATACAAAGAGCACTGATGAAGTGATAAAAAGAGGGGTTCTAAAAGTGACTGTAAGCTGATGGCTGTGGCTGCGAAGTCGGAGGTTTGGGGCACGAACTGGACTACGACTTATGACTGGTTGAGCAAGTTTGGAAAAACAATGCACGGCCTGCTTTTTTCGGAAGAAATAAAAGGGAGTAGAAATACGCTGGGACGTTACTACATATGCGATTTCATGCGGCACAGGCGGGAAACTGAATCTATTAAATTTTTATCAACATTTGTAAGTAATAAAGAGTTGAGGCCGATGACTTACATTTATGGAAGCTGGTTGCAGCACATCGCATGAAAAGCTGTACCAGGAATCAGACCAGGGACTGCTTAGGTGACGGGAAACGGGATGGAGTGGAGTGAGAGCCACGACGTACGTAGTTTGTAGCAGGAAATTCAAGACCTTATTTGTATTAAGAATCGTGCTGTTGACGACATGATGGCTTTAAGAGAAGGGTACATGAATCAGGAATCCATTTCATTTATTTTTATTTTATTTATTTACTTTTATTTGTGTACAGGTGTACTTGGTAAATCCAATGGTTGCCATTATGGAGAATGACAAAGTCTGCAAACGTGAAGTGACAAAAGATGGACAAGCGCAAACTCTCCGTCTGATATCTTATTCCGACAGAGTTCAGTTGTACATCTTCCACGTTAATATGGGATCATGTTCCATAGATTTGTCTCTTTTCGATATTTCCTGAGAAACCGCCTCGCTGTGCAGCGTTCGAGGAGTTTCGACTTCTGCTGCGTAAAGCCATACCTTAACCGCATCGTATAATGCTCCACGTAGAATTATCCTTGATTGGTCTCTCGATACCAGCCAGTAAGCGAGTGGAACGTCCTCCATGAATTGGCTAGAGCTCCTACAGAAAGGGCCAAAGTCGGCCTTCATCTGGTATGCCCATGCAGTAATGCCGTGCCGGTCGTGCTTGGGACTGCCTATCTGTATCGCTTGGTGCCCAAACAATACTGACAAAACAAAACCGGGGATGACCCTCGACCTCGGCGATATTGACCGTCATGGTGGTGATGGGCGAGGGGCAAGGCGACGATAGTGAAAATTACGCCGCCGTGGACGGGGAGGTGGCGGCATCAGTTCGGAAGAGGTTGGGTGCTGCATAGATCCGTCCTACTGGAGATTCTGAGCTGGTGCCTGTGCCTGTGCCTGTGCCTGTACCTGTGCCTGTACCTGTGCCTGTGCTAATTGCAGTGGCAGAGAAGGAGTCGCTACCGCTGCTGTTGGGCCAGAAGCAAGAGCCAGCTCGGCCGCCGGGTCGAGCACGACGCCGGTCGCCTCAGCCGCCGTCTCTGTTGCCGTCGACTTTGGTGCAGTGGACAGCTGTGCGTTGCCCAGGTCCATTTCCGGGTGCATCGCGTATACGGACGACTGCATGGTTGTGCCGTCAAACACCACCAGGTTTTGGATCGGCTGCTGAGTCTGCCCGATTGTGTTGATGACGTCCTGCGCAAGCTGGCCGCCCAGCACCGTCACGACAGGCGACGTCTCCCGCAGCCCCGACACGCTCTGCAAGAACTCGCGGATCTTGTCGGCGGTGACTGGCGGCATGCCGAGTGCCTGCTGCTTTGTGCTGACAAGCCCAATGTACTCGGAGCGGTCCTGGGCGTTGTTGGCGTCCGGCAAGCGGTAGTTCTCGACACTGTGGTTCTCCTGGAAGGCCCACAGAGCGCGCAGGCATGGCAGCAGGGGCGTGACATTGCGCAGGCGCCGTGCGACGCTCCGGATCGAAAACGGCAAAGGCGACGCGTCCGAGGCCAAGAGCCATGTCGAGTACACCTCTCGCTTCGTCACCGACTCCTTGGTCGCCGCCGCACCCTGCTCGCCCTCCACCTTGACGTCCACTATGGTCCGCGTGCGTGTCTCGTGGTCTCCGACCCTGGAGGCGATGTTGCCCCGCTCGCGCACAATCACAAAGTCGTGCTCGATGAGGTCGGCAAAGATGAAGCCAAACAGGCCGTACGAGCTGGCCGCGTAGAATGGGCGATTCTGGAGGCGCGTGGCCGTGTTGATGTAGTTGAGCACCTCTGGGTTGCGGTCTGTGACAATGACGAGGCTGAACTTGGCAAAGTAGTTGACTTGCTGAGCGCAGACATCGCGCTGCTCGGCCATCACGTTGACACGCGGGTTCATCGAGCTCAGCTGCTGGCTAGCGGCCACAGCGCGGTTCGTACCGACAACGGCCGCGGCCGCCGCCCGGTCAGCCGCCTGTCTCTGCTCCAATGTTGCGTCCGCTGGCACCACGTCGCCTACCGATGGGGTTGCCAGCAAGAATTGCGAGCCCAGGTCCTCCTCTGTCACGTTTTCGTGGTCGGCGACCGTCAGCGAGCCGACACCGGCCAACACCAGGTTTTTGGCTATCTCGTTTCCGAGGCCGCGCATTGTGACAAGCAATACGTGGGCCGAACGAAGCTTCTCTTGGGCCCGCATGCCCCAGAGGCGGATTTGACGGTCGTAGAGGGCGATTTCATCTGGCGGCATCCAGTTAGACAAGTGCATCTACCGGTGCGTGCAGGCAATAGGCGCCACACTCGACTCACCTTCTGTCATGCCAGACCGGTTATCTAGGGCGGCAGCTGGCTGGCTGGGTCCAGTGGCGGCGGCGGCGGCGGCTGAGTGCTGCCCTCCGTTTGCCCCAGCAGCTGCTTCGCTATTGCCCACCATGATCGGTAAATGCAGTATGAATGTAGATGTGCGGCTGCGTATTATACAAATGATATGGTGAAGTTCGAGACGAAGTTGAATCAAAGTGAGGAAAATGTTGATGTGCTGGGCGATGAATCTGTTAAATGTTGGTAAATCGAACCAATTGGAGCCAGGTAGCAGTCGTGGGGAACTGGGCAATTGTTGTAGGTGCGCTGGAGCGGTGTGTCGCGTGCACGCGTGAACGTCGAGTGAGGTGGAAGTGAAGTTGTAGTTTTTCCTCCGGAACGAGACGAAGCTGTCTAGCCAAGCGCGATAGTGTTAGTCAGGTGCCCAGGGCGTGAATGGCTGCCGATGGTGCCTGCCCCGTGTAGACCATTTGTGTCGGGAACCGGCCTCGACAGCCCATCCTTGACGTCAGGAAGGTGCGACGGCGAAATATGCTCCCTTCAAGACATAGATTATGAACGTCAAGAAAGGCTCAGATATGAACGCCGTGTTGTTTTAGCTCTCCAGGAACCCTCATTCTGCCAGAATATTCTAATCATTGTTGGCCATGGTCCGTCTTTACCAGGCGACCCACGCTCGCTGCAGCTGCCCTGATAAATAGTTACCTTCATACTGTGCCTCCTCACATAAAATAGCAGTCAGCGCTTCCATTACCAGCTCGTGCCTGCCCTAGCAAGAAACAAACGTACGGAAAGATGGTAAGAGGGCCTGGTCGGCTGGTTCAGTCCAGGGTAGGCACACCACACCGCGGACCAGCACCCCCTCCTTCCTCAGCTGCCCATTCACTGTGAAGAATACGCCGACCGATCCCCCAGCTGTGGCGTCTCGTCCATCTCGTCCTCCACTTGGAAACAGCAGCGCTGTCACTGTGCGCCTTGTCCAGTCCATGCAACGTTCGTTATTTGTGTTCCTTCCCTCATTTCGCCGCTCGCAACAACTCCTTCCCGACTCTGCATTGCCTCTTTCCTCCCTCGGCTGCTGCTATTACTAACTTTACCTCTCTTCAGCTTCTGTTTTCTCACTTCTCTTCTCTCCTCTTTTTTCTGCCCCTACAACATACATTCTTCTCTCACATGCGCCTTTTCCTCCGTCTAACAAACCCCTCTCACATGGCACCTACAGCTCGCCCGCAAACCTTCGACAACTCCGCACACTCTCCTCATCAGAGCAGCGTACATTTTTCGTTCAATCTTCGTGCTACCTGTACCCGCCCCGCAGAACATTGCCCTGCCTATTGACTTTCGATGGTAAGTTGTGGCCTGGGCAAACCCCCCTTGACTGACTTGTTCTTCGGTTCTCATTTGTCCCACCGTTCTGTGTGGCCCACGAGAAGGCACCAGTGCCCACTTACCGCACACCATTGCTTCTCCTCTCCCTTTGGCCTCTCATCTTCCTTTGTACTTTCACATCCGCCTCTTATATCTAGACAGCTGGGATCTTTGCAGCAGCTCTTGGCCGTCGACAGCCGTGCCTCGGATACTGCGAGATCGACTGGTTGCGCACCTGCTGACTTTGCCGTCAACTATATTATAGTCTGCCAACCGCCCGCGCCGAAGTTCGAACAGGCAGCGTCCCGCATCTCCCAATGATTTCATGAGCCATCTTTTCCCTCACAACTCCTCGGCCTTCCCCCTCAACAACCGCAGCTCGTCGCAGGAGCCTGGTTTCCCACAGCCGGCACAGAACCATCCCAGAACACAGTTGACACAGAGCGGGCCGGCGTTGCCCCCATTGTTCGGATTCCCAACGACGTCATCATCCCAACAGCTGCCTCCCCTCCGGGCACTCAATAGAAGTGCCCACGCACCGGCAGGGCCGCTGCCGCTTCCGCGCCGCTCACAGCAAACGCCTCCCTTTCCAAATCATCTACCCGCATCGCACGCCTTGAACAACAACGCCTTACCGTTTGGTTTTCGCCTCGCCAACGACCGTCCACAGTCACCGCTGCACTCTGTCCTTGGCTCTCTCGACGAGATTGGCCACGACCTCGACTATGCAAATTCGCACTTACGGGCTCTTTTGGACATGCCAGCGCCTCCTGACCTACTAGATCAGCTACCACCCTCACTCTCGTCAACTTTTCCGCACACGATGGCATCACGCGCCAGCGGACCAGCCGGCAGCCGCCGTGAACCCTCGCGCTCCGAGGACAGCGGCCGCCTCAACAAACGGCGCAAACTCGACACTGACAAGGCTGTTTCTTCACCGTTCAAGGGCTTCCGGTATGGTCGATACGGCCAAGTGGAGCCGGGTGCTCTCACGATGGAGATTGTTAGCTGCGACGGTGGCCTGTACTCCGACGGATCGTCGTATGCCGCGGAAAATATACTCAAGAACGACAACTCGGTGTATTGCACAAAGGGAAACCGATGCAATATTGTGTTGCAGCACCAAGGCAGCACCACCTTCAGCCTCAAGGAGCTGATTATTAAAGCACCCGGAAGAAACTACTCATCACCGTATGTTTACTGATCCTCTTCTATTTCCGGCCCGCATATATGCTTTCTTGTTTCATTCAACTAACATGCCACCGCATCACAAGGGTCAAAGAAGGCGTTGTGTTCCTTGCCATGACCAAGGACGAACTACTCAGGACCGATCAATACCAGTCCTTCGGGGTGCCTACACCCACAACGTCTTTGTTTCACCATGTCAGCGGCTTTCGTTCGCGTGCTGGGCGGTCGACAAGGACAGGGTACTTGCATACCGGGACACAAAGCCGCGACGGAAATGACCATAACGGCAGCGTCAATGATACTCCCATGGAGCAGATTTACGACCTGGCCCCGGACGGCTCTGACCATCGCCTATCGTCGGCACATGCTGGATTTGAGTCATTGTCAAACCAGCCGACTTTCCATGTTCTCACCGAGTGCAGCGATGACGAAGACGACGACATGTCTGGTAGATCGGGACGCGATCGGGACGCCCCGGGTATGGGCTGGCGCGGAAATTCCGGCTGGAGTCCGACGCCGTTGCGCAACCGGGCTCGCAGACGACCACCCACCTATGACGATAGCACTCATCCAAGTGCTCATCTGACTTGGGATATAAACGCGAATTTGGCAGACGACGATGACGATGACGACTACACGGAACTCTACGATTTGGGCAACGCAACGATTTCATCACCCGAGTCTCCATTAGACGAGGCTGACACGAGCCGGCCTCGCATGGACCACAGCCGCGACCGCGCCAACACTGATGACCGCAACGGCGAATCTTCCGAGTTTTACCCGAGCACCGCATTTTTCGAGGGCCGCAACAGAAATAACAATGACTCGAATAGTGCCGGTACTGATCTTACTTCGAGAAACGAACCGCCGTCTACTTTACAGCGCGCCGAGTTCCACATTGAGATGGATAAGAACAAGTGTACAATCCTGTTCGACCCCCCCGTGACCGCACGGTATATCCTGCTGAAGATGTGGAACCCACGCCAGGACTCGGCCGGTAACATCGACATTCAGGGTGTCGTGGCTAAAGGCTTCGCCGGGCCGCGCTACTTCCCTGCGATGGAGTTGCGTTAGAGTGGCTGGCGCAGTACTGTTACGGTCCGGTATTATGGAATGCTTGTGCATTCTCCCTCACGTTTTACTTGTTCTTCTTTTTCGCCTCTCCACATTTTCACGAAAGACATGAAGCATATGCATGGCACTGGGATAGCGTTTGCTTGGAATTGGGTATAATGCATGGGAATTATCATAGGGATATGAGCGCGGTCCTCGAACCATATGGGACGCAAGAGAATGCGTATGCAACAAACGGTCCAATGAATGGCGTTTTTGAATTCAAGTCCATATCGGAACATTGACAGTCTTCAGGCACATAACGTAAGATATCTGTGACGAGAGCTAGCCTGCGGCTCTTTGTGGATGCACCAACAGCCCGAGGTTCGTCTGAGCTTGTTCCTGGAGATCCCGCTCAGCTGCAAAGTGTGCTGTTCGAGCGTATAGACGGTGAATTACTGTCGTCGACGTGTGTTTTACCTGCGAGGGGGGGCGTATGCAGGTTTGGCTGCCAAAAGCCATCAACAGCCCAAACCTGGTGTGGAGCCGGCTCAGTCGCTTGCCGGTGGTAGTCATTATGAGTAGTAGTTGAGCCACGTACTGTGCCAGACCGCGTGTGAGTCACGAGGAAAGTACCATTTGCAACAAAGACGCCAGCGATGAAGTCAAGAGGGAGTCACAAGCGGGCCTTCCCTACGTAACTAGGAGTCCAGTGGGTGGGCCGCAGCGGTGCTGCCGTGCTGTAGGGGCTTGGAGGGGGAGGGGTTAGTAGGTGTGGTGGCCTGTGTCTGTGTCTCTAAATACGCTAGTCCTAACTAGGTGAGGCGCGGCTTCCTTTCCTGGCTTTTTTAACTTTTTTTGGGACCTGACAGGCTCGATAAGCAACATTTTGCTTTGTGTGAAAATTTCCCTTTGGTGTGTCGTGCCTTCCTGCTCTCGAAGCTGCCATGCCATTGGAAATCGAAACACAGACACCCTATCATTGCCACTTGCAAAATACATAACAGCGCTTGATCCCACGAGCTTTCGACATCTGATCTTCCCTCTCTCGCTCGCTCTCTCTCATCTTTTAGCCACAACAGCTTCGTCTCGTCTTCGGAACGCATAGTCGGCACGACCCCGCAAGAGAGATCCTACGGCCGAGCCTCCAATATCACAGCGCAAAGAGACTCGCAAAAGACCCCTCCTTTTGCACCACTTTTCCACCACTTTTCCACCACTTTCCCACCCTCTACGACCTTCCCATAGCAAGCACACGAGCAGACCACAAGCATCATGGCGGTCCGCGCTCAGTTTGAAAACTCCAACGAGTAAGTGACGGCTGTATACTATGGTCCCGTGCCGCCGGCCACTTGAAGTCCATGCTAATGCAGGTAGGGTTGGTGTGTTTTCCACCTTGACAAATGCCTATGCGCTCGTCGCCATCGGTGCGAGCGAGAACTTTTATAGCATCTTCGAGTCCGAGCTGCAAGACACGGTCCCCATCTGTCGCACAACAATTGCTGGCACCCGTATTGTCGGCCGGTTAACGGCGGGCAACCGCAACGGCCTGCTCGTGCCCACCACCACGACGGACCAGGAGCTGCAGCACTTGCGCAACTCACTACCCGACTCCATCAAGATTCGCCGCGTCGAGGAGCGGCTCTCGGCCCTGGGAAACGTCATTGTTGCCAACGACCGCATTGCGCTGGTGCATCCCGACCTCGAGCGGGACACTGAAGAGATCATTGCCGACGTCCTCGGTGTCGAGGTCTTCCGGCAGACGGTGGCCGACAATGTGCTGGTCGGTTCCTACATGGCGCTGACCAACAACGGCGGCCTTGTGCACCCCAAGACGAGTGTGCAGGACCAGGACGAGCTGTCGAGCCTGCTGCAGGTACCACTTCTGGCTGGTTCCGTCAACCGCGGCAGCAGTGTGATTGGCGGCGGCATGGTTGTCAACGACTGGATGGCCGTGACGGGTCTGGATACGACGGCCACCGAGTTGAGTGTCATTGAGAGCGTGTTCCGGCTGGGCGAGGGCAATGGCCCGAGCAATGTCAACTCGACGCTCAAGGACACAATAGTAGAGTCTTTTTACTAGGCGGAGCGGTGTCCGAAGCGAGCAATGAAACAATCCGAACTACGAAATACTATACAAAACAGGTGGAGACGTGTAGATCGAAGACATTGGGCTTTTACACGGTTTTACGGGCAGTGGCGTCACGGGCGTTTATTTTTTGCATCTTCATATCTGCCTATTCTAGAGCAATTATCTGTCATGTTGTGCCTGGCAAACCGAACCGAAATCGATTTTATAGCATTGCTGCCTGGCAAGAGCAGCACGCCACTCTCGCTTCTTCACGTCATCACACTGGAAGCAGGAGAGTGACTTAATGTTGACTGATTGTTTTCAAAACTGCAACAAAAACAAGGTGCTTCGAGTGTCATATTGTACCCACTCATCTGATATTACAAGATAGCCACCTTTCCACGATGCCACGTTGTTGGCATATGACTGGAGAGACATGGCTGGCCTTGGCCCACTAAGAGAAACAACTGCCATAACCGTCCACTTAGGTAGACAGAGAGGCCAACAAGTCGTAAGCAGTCGATACCACAAGCGAGATTCCGAGACACCCCACGAGCTCGACAAATGATGGCCTTCCGTACTACGGCTGTTCCGAACACGAGTGCTCGTCCGGGTGGGCCCTCGTCGTGGCAGCATCGCATCCTCTAATGTGCGTCGATGCCCTGTTCCCTGGAGTAACTATTGATTACATTTGCTCGACAAGTACATTGGCAGAGCGTTTGTTGTAGGTACTACTTCCGGTCTACTACGCAAACTATGAATAAAAGGTCAAAATTTCATCACTTTCCCGGTTGGGCTGGCATTTACGTCTATCAACTCACTTCACCTCCTCCACTTGTCCGGCATACCACTGTCTGCGTCGTACGTCCCGACTCAAGAATTTCGGCTCAACCAGGCCATCTTCACATCGTGGTCATCCGCCCGGTTTGTTCTGTTTCATCTCTTTTGCCTTTTACAGTCACACAGCACCGGGATTTTATAGCCCTCGTTTTATTTTTCGTGTTATTTTACTCTCTTTGCTCCCTTTTTTCTTCGTATTCCTGAGTTCTCCGACTTCGATTGATTCATTTCCTTCCATATCTACATAGTCGTCAGTCACAACACAATGTCGACGATCCACGCCATCTGTTGTTGGCTGACAGGTGTCTGGATACGCTAAAACGAGCACGCTAAGAGCACGAAGTGCGCTGCCTCCCGTAGGGCGCCGCTGCCTTCCGCCTCTGTTAGCGTGCTCCCCTGGGCAACCGGCCCTGACCCTTCTCGCCTAGTACGTTCGTTGGCTCTGTTGACATTGCGAACATGGCCCAGACGATTTTTTGCTTTATGTGGGAATGCGACATGTAATGCTGGAAGCGCGTCTCGTACGAAAAAACCCTCTTTTGTCTTTCGTCCTCGCATCCTGTTTTCTTCTTTGTGTTCATAGACAACTTTCTCGACCGCACCTTCCTCGCCCATCCTCTTTCCCCTCCCTTTCCTTGAGGCTGAGATCCGCCTCTTGCCGCTTTAGGAGCCGTGCGTTCATGCCCTGACGCAGAGCCGTGCCGCACCTTTTCGTACTTTGTAATTGTGTCTGGCCGTGTCCTGTCGCTTCTACCGCGATCTCTGTTCCGATTTGTTGCAGTCGCCCTCGTCAGCCAACCTTCGGGCCTGCAGTATCTGCTATCTTGCCTGGGCCATCCCACTCAGCACCTGTGCGAGATTGTTTACTACACTCGCTCAGAAAGACACCCAGCCTTTTCCTGGAAAAGCAACAACAAGCGGAGGCAAGAGCAACCGCTTAGTTTCCCCATCTTCACATCGCAAAATCGCCAACAACAGAAAGAGCGACCACCGACCCTCCCTTTGCCCCTTCTCTTTTCTCTCGTCGGCCATATTTCTCTATATTACGCATCTTAAGACAAACTAGGAAGTCGCCGTTCTCCCATTTGTTTCAGCAAGCCAACGACCCCGGCCTCGGCCACACCTTCCTTGTTGTACCTGCCCTGCTCTACACCCGCCACGACAGACTTGACTTCTTCCATTCTTCCATCCCTCGTCGATCCACCGCCCCTATTTGTCGCCGCCTCACACTCTCGCTCTCGGTTGTAACTCTTCACCCACGTCCTGCTGGCCAGCCGCCACGCATTAACTGGTCATGCTAAGCGGCCCACACCTCACCAGCAGACTCTCCAGCAGAATCACCGAGCCGCAGCCTCTCCTCCGACGTCGTCACCCATGTCGTCGACCATGAGTGTTTCCTCCTCCCCATCACCTCGCATGCGACGCCCGCAGCAGCATGCTTCCCCGCTCGCAAACCGGTATAGGCAGAGCGACGACGGCGACACGTACGACGACTACAACGGCTACGGATCACAAGCAGCACCGCCAACACCAACCGAGAACCGTGGGGGAGGCGGTGATCGTGGCGGCGTCTACCAAGGTTCACTCAACGACGGTCCAGGAGCAGCAGCGCAGCAGGCCTCGCTACGCCCTGCAGTCGATCCTTTGAGCCCTTCGTCTGTTTCTTCATCGCCGTACCAGCTTTATCAAGCACAAACACAGCATCATACCCCGTCACACATGCGTGCCCAGAGCTACAGCCAGGACTACAATCGCAGCAACAACTACGGCTACCGCCCCAGCTACGCCTCGACGAGCAGTGCTGGCTCGTCGTCCGCCACTCACACACGAAAGCTCAGCACCGGCAACCTCCGCCCGGTGCAGGAGTACCACAACGCCTTTTCCCATGAGGACACTGCCTACGCGGCCTCTCCATCCGTCTCCGTATCACCCACCCTACCCCGGCCGCCGTCCACGTCCGCCTCGCCCGCGCACTCACCGACACCTTCTGTGTCCTCATCCCACTTTGCGACTTTGTCTTCTGCCTCGCGCGCCTTCCTAGAGCATCGCCGTCAGCAGTCCATCCCGAATCTGCTGCCGTCGATCCAGTCCATCGGCAGGAACCTCGGCCGCGCGATCTCGCCCGACCGTTCGTTACGATCGGTCCAGTCACCTCGGCCGGCCATTCCCACCCACAAAGACGACGACTGTGCGAGCAGCGACGAGTACAGTGATAGTGACGGCGGCGGCGGCGGCGGCGACGACGACGACGACGACGACGACTACAGTAGTGAAGACGAGGACGACAGCCGCCGTAACAGCGGGAACATGTCTTTTACGGGTGACAGGTGGCCAGCGAATAAAGGCGACAATTTGTATACAACCTATAAGGGCGGCAACAGTGGCAACAGCAACAGCAACAACGTCAGCAAAAATCCGACTGACTCACCCTCCGCGGCGAGCGGGTTTTCAAATTGGCTATCGGGAGGTGCCAAGGCCACGAGCCCGGACCGGGCCGCATATCCCAAGTCGTCACGTACCACAACACCGGAGCCCAAAGTTTTAGATTTAATGCTACGAGGCGGACCGAGCAGTTGTGCCAGTCCGACGACTCGTAGAGCCATGTCCGTGGCCACCGATGCATCAGCAACACCAAGAAGCACCGTAACGGCGGCAGCGTCGACTACTTCACCCTCGCGCTTCTCTCAGCTCGCTACCTCCATGACAGCGACGCTTTCCCGCCTCACTCAACAGCAGTCGCCCGCGAACCCACGTGCTCTCGCGACCGGTGCGTCGTTTGAGCAGGATGAGTTCTACACAATGGACCTGGACGCTGCCCTCTTTCCGTCTGGTCACCCTTCTGACCGGGACGCCTTTTCACCATCCGCCTTTAAGAATCTGGAAACAAATGCGCTGGGTGCCTTGCACCGGATGCAGGCCGCCTACCGGCAGCGTGCTGTTGCACACCACGACCTCGCTGCCGAAAAGAGCGTGCGCGACGAAGAGCTCGAAGAGGCTGAGACTCGTGCCCAGCACCTCAAAATGCAGCTGGAGGGCATGGCACGGCGGGCAGCCGATCAGCAAAAGGAGATGCAGGCTCTGATGGACGAGCTGGCGGCTGAGAAAAAGGCCCGCGCACAAGAACGCGCCATGCTCCTGTCCGGTCCGCCAACAACACCAACGGCCACTGCCACGGCGTCCATGGCATCCACCGTCTTGTCCGAAGACCTGGGCGTGGACGAAGCACAGCGTGATCAGAAGCAGCGTAACGCGTCGTGGCGGCGCCGCAGCCTCAAGTCCAACGGCAGCAGCTACGACGGCAACTACAGCGAGGAAGAGGGCGAGATCAGCAGTGCCCTCGACGAGGATGAGCGGAGCAACGGTAGCAGTAGCGTGTTTTCGCGCTCGCGCAGTCCCACATTTACGCCGAGTATCAACCTCAACCTCGACCACGCAGCAGGCGTCGACAACCAGCCACAGGTTGCCCACCCGCGTGTGGCGGCACTGGGCTCCGTTTCTGGCGGTTCTATGCGCTTGCCGAGCGGCAACCGTTCCGTGTCGTCTGCATCCACGGTGACGGTTGTCTCCCAGTTCCAGAAACTCATGAAAAATATGACGGCGGCTATTAAGGACGAGGAGCCCTCGGCCGATCGGCTGGGCAGCAGCAGCAACTGCCGCAACTGCCGCGGGGAAGACGTCAGCTTTGCCTGGAACACGGTCAGCGTTCTGCGAGACGAGAACAAGCATCTCAAGCAACGGGTCGGCCAGTTGGAGGTGGCTGTCGAGGGCGCCTTGGACATGGTTAACGGCGTCGGTCTTGACTAGGGTTTTGTTCCAGTCTTTCCTTCGCCTTCGTTTCAGCATCTCGCTTTATCATTGATTGTTTTCAGAGCGCTTATAAATGGTTATCGTGTTTCCTGCTTAGGCTTATTTTCTCTACTTCATTTTTTTTTGTCTTTGTAGATTTAGCCTGACCCCCAGGTCGGATGTACGACAGTATGAGACATATAAGAAAGAAAACACGGCCGATGAGTCTTTTCATATTCCCCATATAGGCTCTGGATGCATGCCTGTTATTTTTAGAGGAAATAGCAGATTATCGTTTGCAAGGAAGAGTAGCAAATAGATACGTGCAGTTAAACCGAAGCTAGGAAAACGAGGTGCGGTGATTTCATGCAGGGGCAAGGTACATCAACTACACGACATACAAACCCGTTTACCCCAAGACACTCCTGCATGCCTGCTACCCACAACGCACTCGGCTCTATGAGTATTGTTCATTTTCTTTCATTCCGGCCACCGCCGCGTTCGTATGTACAATCGGTGTCGATGCTAATCTGACAAACGGACTTTGCGTCCGGACTCCATCACCCTTCCTTGCCGCGCCCTTCGTATGCTGCTCTAGTGGTGCTCCTCGCCGTGGCCGTGGGCGTGGTCGTCTCCCTTAAGGAAGAAGTGCTCGTAGCCGCAGTACGCTGCAAACGCCACCGTCGCGATGCCCAGGCCGGGGAAGCCCGCCTTGAACCGGTTCCACCGCGTGAACTGGCCCCGGTAACGCCATGCCTCACTGTGCCTTGTTAGGACCAGGTCGACCTTTTGTTGCTTGATCGATACGGTTTCTTTGCTGCTCGGAATCACTTACTGCCGCTCCCACGGGTCGTACCGTGGCTGCCCGCTGGCCTTGCGAAAGGCGCGAATGTCGAAGCCTGTGATATTGGGCTCGGGACCGTGAGAGGCCCGTAGTAATCTAGTGACGGGAGAGCATCTGTGGTCAGCCAATTGGCCGCTCCAACCCTTTTTCTTCGCCGCTCCTCTCTTTGTCCACAGCTGGACCAGTTTCTCGTCTCCCTTGTCCGCCGTCCTTTTCGTCGTCTGTCGCAGATCGAATGCGCGGGACTGTCGTTGGCTCACCTTGTTGGGTACATTGTGGTCAATTCGCTCGGTCGACGAAGGAGCGTGTGTATGCCGAGCAATAAACGTGGATCTGGTGCAGCGGCAGGCGGGGGGATGGATGGGATCCGTCGTCCTTATGCCGTCGTGTGTGGTGATGCGATGGTCCGAAAACGAGTGCAGCACCAGACGCCCGCAAAATAATCGACAGCCTCGGATTGGGTGGTTTCGTTTTTACCGCTCGCCCTGGAAGGTCGTTTTACCGCAACACGCGCTGTCGTCCACTGAGCTACAGGCGGCCAAGCGCTACCACGTAGAGCCTTGTAGCCCCACTTTTGTTTCCCATGGCAGCTCTCGGATTATTAGATACGCCGAGAGCGTCTGGCAGCGGTCGTCGCTTCCCTCCACCCCATCGCTGCGAAAGGCTCGAAGGAAAGCGCCAATGACTGTGAGCCGTCTGCGCTGGCCATTGCTTCGTGCATTTTCTGGCAAACCCCGTCTACACCTCAACTGCCCTTCCTCGACACAACAACCTCTCTTCATCCAAGACCTGCCCCGGCCACAAACAGCGTTTCCCGACCTCGATTCCTTTGCTCGTTGCACCGATCACCCGACCGACGACACGACGGACGAGAACCCCTACTTTTGCGTCGCTTCCTGGATTTTTCGACGATATTTTGCTAGAAAGGTAAGGCGGCGTCGAATACACATCGTGTGTTTGCTAACGGCCTTTGCCCCGGTCTTCTGGTGATGAGGCCGAGGAGGCGAGGTCTGTGCATGGCGGTGCGTGTCATGGGAGGTCCCAGTATCTAATGTGTCCTTGCGCGTATAGCATCGTTTAACCCGCCCTTGTTGATCGAAACATCGAGACACGCGACGAACAGACTTCTCCCCCTCGATAACGAACGCAAATTCATATCGATCATCTATATTTAAGAACTAGGAACGAAACGGTTGTTATCGACGAAGCTCGCTGCGAACGCGACACGCGACACGCGACGCCATCACCGAATTGGACCTCTGGCTTTGACACGCACAAGAGGGACTCCTAAAGCCACTTGGAGGTCGGGATTGAGACTGCGAGATTGCGAGAGCGAGAGCGAGAGAGTATGCCTCCACCGGTGTCTCGGTTCCAGAGTGGACCGAACACCATCTACCACCAACAGTACAATGCCCACCCACAAGCTGGCCACCCTGGCGCGCAACACCTGTCCCTCGGCCAGCAGTCCTACCTGAACCCGGCGGCGGCGGCGGCCGCGGCGGCACAGCTGAATCCTTTTGGCGCCAATGGCGGACTGAATCTGGCAGCTGCATCCATGAACCCAGGTGCTGGCGGCTTTGGCGTGGGTGACAATTCCGGCCTGGCCAGCCAGGCGGCGCGGATGGGCTTTGCACATGGCGCGCAGCTGCAGCAACAGCAAGCACAACAGCAGGCGCAGCAGCAGTCGCAGCAATCACACCAGCAGCAGCTGCACCACCAGCAGGTGCAAGCACACGCGCAGCAACAACACCACAACCACCACAACCACCACCACCAGCTGCACGCCGCGCTGGGTGAGCCGCACCAGGGGCGGATGCCCGCCAAGGGCCGGATACGAGAGGTTTGGAAGCACAACCTGGCGGAAGAAATGGCAGCGATTCGTGACCTGGTGGACAAGTACCCGTATATTGCCATGGTAGGTTCTCTCTCGCGTCCCATTATACACACACTCGACTTTCCCCCCTAACACCCTCTAGGACACAGAATTCCCCGGCGTTGTTGCACGGCCTATGGGCAGCTTCCGCGGCAAGAGCGACTACCACTACCAATGCCTACGGACAAATGTGGACTTGCTCCGCGTTATCCAGATCGGCATCACTCTGTTCAACGAGGACGGCGAAACGCCCCCTGCACGGCCTGTGTCCACCGACTCTGGTGAGCTTGGCGGGCCCGTGGGCGGCCGCCGTGGCCACCAGGGCGGCTCGCTGCCGTATTCGTGGCAGTTCAACTTCAAGTTCTCGCTCAAGGACGACATGTACAACCAGACATCCATCGACTCGCTCGTGCAGGCCGGCATCGACTTCAACATCATGGACCGTGACGGTATCGACCCCGTCGACTTCGCGGCCCTGCTGATTCCTTCGGGCCTGGTTTGCTTCGACGAGGTGCACTGGATCTCCTTCCATGGCGGCTACGACTTTGGCTACCTGACCAAGCTTCTCTTCTGCAAGCCGCTGCCTAGTGACGAGATCGAGTTTGACCAGATCATGAAGCTGTACTTCCCATCGACGTTTGACGTCAAGCACCTGATGAAGCACGCCATCCGCATGCACAACACCGGCCAGCTGACACCTGGCGACCCGTCGTCGATTGAGGTTCTGCAAAAGTTCGAGCACAAGTCTGGCCTCGAGAACATTGCCGAGGCTCTCAAGGTGAAGCGGGTGGGTGCCGCCCACCAGGCCGGCTCCGACAGCCTTCTGACCGGCCGCGTCTTTTTCCAGATGCGCGAAAAAATCTTCCACGGCGAGATCCCCTCGGAGCAGGTCGGCAAGGTGTGGGGCCTCATGGTGCCTGACATTCCGCCTGTGCCGGGCGTGGGCCACCTCGGCGGCTTCACAAACCGGTACGGCGGCATGTTGATGGGGGCTACCGGCGGCGGTGCCGGTGCTAATGTCAGCGGTCTCGGCGGTGGCGACGGCGCAAGCGGTGTCGAGACTACCCCAGGCAGTAGCAATGGCGTGAACGGAGCCAGCAGCGGCGCAAACGGCACGACAACCAACGGCGGTACCCCGAGCACACCGCACACGTCAACTGCCGGCCTTGTTAACACGCCTGCGGCGGGCAGCCACAACACCAATAGTATGGGGATGGGCCCGATGACACCTGGCGGTGGCGGTGGCGTGTTTGGCAGCTTCGCCTACCCGAACCGGAGCTAGGATCCCAACCTCATAATGTCGTCACCTGCGCCGGTTTTGCAATGGCCGATGGCTGTATCCCCAATGGCTTTCGATTTCCCGCCCCGGCGATCAGTGTCTATGCAAGAGTGGGGACAGACTTGTTCACAAGGAGGGTACGCACAAAGAGGGCAGACACGAGGAAGCGGCCTTGGCGTTCATGGTGGTATCTTTACAGGAGAACATCCCATGGCACTGCCGGCTCCTGGAGAGCTGCAGACCCAGAAAGAGCTACTCATGATGGGACAGGCACCATCCGTGGGCAACGAATTTCACGGACGAAGCCGCTCGATGGGTAGCTAGCTGAGCCAATGTATGTGTGGCTCCTCGAACATGCATCCCAACTGATAGCCGTATGGCCGTGTTCTGTCTGCTCCAATCCCAACGGACCCTGCTACACTTCTTCTTTTGCATTCCCACCCTGCTTTTCCGCCTTGCCCATCCTTCGTCCCTTCATCTTCCCCGACATGTATAATCCTTTCGCTCTTTCCTACTCTCCTCTTATCTCTTTATCTCTTTTTCCTGTCCTTTTTCTGGGTTTTTTGGTTGGTTGTGCGTGTGTGCGTCTTTTTATTTCTATTTTTTTCGCGCGAGCAGTCTTTTCAAAGGGTTGTTCCTTTCTTTTCCCTTTTTGTGTTTTGGTCCGTCTTATTCTAGGGAGGAATAAAAAAGATTTAAAGGAAACATCACGGATGGTCCTGGAAGGGTACGGATGGTGTTGTCGTTCATAACTCGGCTGCATATCTCCTTCGGCCATTGTATCTAGGTAGTCTTTTTTTTGTGCGTGGTGTACTTTTCATTTTGTCTTCTTTGCATGTATTTTTTAGGTCTTCGTTGGTGTACAGGAATCTCATTGTTCCGTGTTTACTCTATTTGATATGGTTTCATTTTGTTCGTCATGTACGGCCTTTCAGATCAAGTGAACCACGGACGCTGCGTAGCATTTATGAAATAAATCGATATTGATACTGGTCGCCAGCCATGCTGCCTGGCGAGAGTCATGTGCAGTCGTTGGCGCCTTGGCTGTTGCTTTCCTAGACGCTCCAGGCAGAGGATATACAAAATTCAATGAAACTTATAAAAATAAACCAGGCGAAAACAAACAACAAATACAAGTCCCGGAAGTGCGCCGCCCCATGCGGAGAAAAAAATAGGAGACAAAAAAAAGTGAGCAGTAAGCAACCCTACGACTCCTAGAAATGGAAAGCTTCCTTGACCTTAAAAGCCGAAAACGAATCCAGAAATGCAGAACCAGCGACCAGAACTGAAGAACTATGTGATAAAAACCTTCTTGGCATCGTTAATATGGAAAATCTCGTTTGTGCGGAGGTCCCGTATCCGGTCGGATGGTAGTCCCGTTTTTCTGGCATACTCAAGCAGCCGTTCCATGCCGTAGGCGTGGCCGTTTGGCAGAAGCTTCAGGTCGTGCTCAACATGGCTCTTGCTATGGTGAGCGTACGGCACGTGGCGTGCCAGCTCGTTGAGCTCAATCGAGCAAATGGGACAAATGGACGAGCCCATTTGCTGGCCGTCTCGGATGCCCCGAGCAAACGGTGACCGCTTTGGTTTACTGTTGCTGCTGTTGGTGTTTCCGCTGGCGTTGCCGTTGGCGTTGCTGTGGTTCTCAACCGCCGCATGTGACGCTGTCTGGCCGGTGGCCGTGTCGCTGGCATGGCCGTTGCCACTCAGCTGACCGATCCCGTTATTGTGAGAACCGACTGCTATGCCAGTGATGGTTGGAATGGGCGCCGGCTCGGGCGCAGGGGCCGGGTGACACGCCGGCGTCTTAAGCGCCGAGAGGCCTGACGAGAGCGCCAGGTGTAGCAGTGGCACGGATGGCAGTGACAGGAGCTGGTTGTGCGTGCTAGTGAAGAGATCTGCCAACATGGCCCAGCGCTCGTCGTTCCAGAGCTCTGAATACTCCTCAGGCGCCTCGCCAGCCGGGTAGCACATCAGAACAGCTGCTTGTTGGCACTCTTCCGGGTAAATGTTATGGAACGGCGTCATGTAGCGGCGGGCGTGGGTGACGGCGTCGGCCAGGCGGCCCAGGTCCGGGTTGCGCACCATTTCAATAAACTGTTGGTAGCGCAGCATGAATTCGAGCTTGCTCTCCATCTTGCGTAGTTCCTTCTTGTTGTCGGTACACCAGGAAAGCGCCTCGGTGACGCTGTGGTCGTGCAACAGCCGCTGCCGAATCTGGGACATGTAGGCAAAGGTGTCAATATCGACCAGGTCACGCAGGGCACCAGAGGCATCGTCGTCGACCAGAGCGGCCGCACTTGCGTTGTAGCCATGGCGCAGCAGGTAGTCGACTAGCAAACGGTCGAGACGGCGGCGGCTCCACGTTTCGTAGGCAACGTCGTCGAGAGAGTGCATGCTAGCAAGCTCGGCGAGATGGGCGGTGCGGGCGTCGACATGGCGGTATATTTTGGTCTCCTCGTCAGCGCAGGCCTCGAGCTTGCGTTTCATACCGCGCATGCGGGCGACCATTCCGTCGATGCTCTTGAGGACGTCGTCCGTCGACGTGGCCGAGCCAGCATTCTTAAGACCGTTGGTCGCAGCCTCTTTGAGGGCGTTCTTGACCGAGGTGCTCTCCTTTTCGACGATAAAATGGGCCGAGCGGAAGTTCTTGCGGAGGAGCTCGTACGGCAGCCGGAGGAGTGGCTGGTCCTAGAGGCGGAGGTGGTTGAACAAGGTCAGCTTCGCAGTCTTGACGGACTAGGAAGAAGAAGGGAAGAGAAGGAAGAACGCTCACAAGAAGGAGATGGTTGGCCTTGTCGATCCGGGCGGCGTCGTGGTTAGCCATTGTGTCGCTGCTGTCTTGCTCGCTGGCTCGATCTCGGCCAACTGTGCAGCCGCTTTCTTGGACGGGCGAGATTCGGAGCAGTCCCCTCCCCAGGTGTGGTGGTACGCTCGCCAACGAAATGAACCAGATCAATCAAGCCAAATCGTCCGAATGTCGCCCAGTTGGAGAGAGTTGACGAAGTAGAGTCGACGCGTGAGTGACGTCTAAGAATGGCGGCTCGCTCGGCTTTGCTGCACGATCCAGTGATGACCTCAGTCTCAGTGCTGGGCCGCAATAACTGTAGGGGTGGATGAGCTGCAGCCGGAGGCGGTAGCTGCATGCGAAGGCGAGGCTGGGAAGATGACGAGTTGTATATATTAATTCGGGGCGCTCTGGCAATATTTGTTTTGGAAAATTACCGGGCCGCCTATTTTCGTTGCTTGACGTCCTTCGTTCCTTCGTTCCTCCGTGCCTTCGTGCCTTCCTGATGGCGGCCAGAGGAAGAAGGTGGGAGGTGATTATGACGGAAGAGCACCTTCTCCGGTTCCGCTATAGGTTGTGTTCCATAGGCGATAATATTGTTCGAGGAAGGTGCCAGCGGACCGCCACTGGTCCAAGCTTTCAGCGGTACAACATTACCGCTTTCCCACCGAATCAAAATTCTACAGCGCCACTCTCATCTCCAGTTACAGTGGCAAAGTGGGCTCTGTGGCCAGCCGCATTGGCCTTTATGCCCCAAAACAGATTGACTCTCAACGTCACGACCACAGTCACTCAAAACGTTGGCGAGGAATGCAAAAAGGTATGTTCTCTCCAAAAATGGAGAGCAAAAGGAAATCCCGATCCAGGCAGGGATCGAACCTGCAATCTCTTGGTTCGTAGCCAAGCGCCTTGCCATTTGGCCACTGGACCCGTTTTCTGATGGGACGCCAGCAAGAAGCAGCCTCTTTGAATCCTCCACCAGAGGGAGGGGCAAGCCCGGGCTCGTACGAGACAGGCAGACCAATCAGATCGTAGCCATGGCAGGACCCACATTTGAGCTTGCCATTGGTCCCATGTTCGTATGAGAGAAGGCGCGATTGGCTCACAGGGTGCAGCGACTGGACCGGTTGTACTTACTCCGTACCGCGCCTTCCGTTCATGACATGGCAACAGACACACTGCGCACGACTCACGTGTTTTTCTGTCTCTTCCTTCCGTCACGTTCTTTTACGCGCTGGCAAAGAGCTGAACGGTCTGCTGCTTCGTAGCTGCGGCTTTGCTCTGGCTGACGAGTCAGGTGCAGCAACATACGTATCGAGCGTGCACACCCTCTGTCTCTCTCTCGGGATCGCTGGTATATTAGAGCAGTATTTGTCCTCTTCATCGGAAGGGCTTATTATCCAAAGGATTCGTTTTCGTGTCTTTTGTCTTGTTCGTTCCTACCTGTCCAGGCCTTTCGTGGGACGCTTTCCTGAACAAACCAGACGACAAACTCGCAGGCAGCAGGCACGACTGAACGCCCCCACTTTTCTTACCTTTCCGTGCTCTCCCCGTGCTCGCCCCGTGACTGGCCACTCACAGCAGCGAAGAGTGGATCCGCAGCCCCGCCTTTTCTCGCCCTTTGCCTCTGTGCAGCCCAGCGTTCCCTTATATCTCGCGAAACCCCGTGCTCTCCATCCACGTGAGTCTTCTTTGCTTCTCCCTCCTCCTCCTCTTCCCACCCAAACTCGTGAAGCATCACCTGACATTGCTTTTCTGCAGCCAAAAAGCGTGACCTTCTCCATCACCGGTCAACACGACAATCGCAGTTTGGCTATAACGGCCAGAGGTATGTTTCTTTTCAGTGTTTAATCATGCCCCCTCTGCCTCTCTGCCTCGTCCGCTGCCTTTCCACGCCGCGCCAACGGCAACGAGAAAGGGTCAATTCCCAACGCGTTCATCGCGTTCGACGCCTTGGACTGTCTTCCCATCAAAACACCAAAACCCACATTTAAAAGCGCGTCGACAGGTCCCTGGGGGCCTTCTTTGCCGTGTCGCCGTTGCATTGCTTCGCTTTTCATCCTCTTTCCTTTGTCGCGCTGTGTGCTTTTCTCTCTCGGTCGTGGATTTGTCTTTTTATCGTGATGTTTTCTGTTTTGGTGGAAAAAGCAACAGCGACAGGCGACAGGCAACATGCCTTTGGAGAACGCGCGAGGATACTTTAAGATGACCAAAATGTGTAGCATTTCAACTGTCACTACACGTCACAACAACCTTTGCTCCGCACCTTTTACAGTGCCTCTCGCGCGGCCATTTGCAAGCGCAAAATGTGTGAGACGGGCGGAAATTTAAAAATAATAATAATAATAATAATAGGCACGAAGCGCTGTCAAGTGACGACGGAAAACGCGCCAAGTGCTACAAAGGGGGCTTCGACGAAAAGCACTCTAACACTCCTGGCTTCTGGCTTCTGGCTTCTGGCTTCTGCTCATGATTGACTCTAACATTGGCCAGTAGCATCTCATTACCATCCACACGATAACCGCAATGACTGAAACGGCAGTCGAGCCGTCGCCGCCAGGCAGCCCTTCCAAGCGTAAGCGCGGAGCCGAGTCGAGCTCGCCAGACACACGTCGGTCAAAGCGCGGCGCGGCTGCACAGACCGTGCCTACCGCTTTCATGGAGTCTGCGGCCCAGCCGGACCAGGCAGGTGGCGCTGAGGCCACGACCGACTTCAGTGGTGTCCCTGCTGCCGACGCCGCCGCGACCGCTGCAGACGGCGCTGAGGGCACTGAGGCTGCTGCTGGAACCGACTCGGACGCGGCCAACCAGCAGCGCACCAACGCGGCCAACGCGGCCAGCGCGGCCACGGCCGCCGCCGTGCTCGATTCCATGTTCCCGCAGCTTAACGTGCCCGTCTCCACAGAAGAGACGTTTGCCAACCAACATGTCGAGGGCGAGCACCACGGCGACGCGTCGGCCTACAGCGCGGGCGATGTGACGCAGGGCGATCTGTCTCTGGACGTGGCGGGCGGCTCCAACGGCGTGGGGAAGCGGCCCATGTCTGGCATTCAGTCCAAGCCCGCCGTGGGTTCTGAGGAATGGCACAAAATGCGGAAAGACAACCACAAAGAGGGTACGTTTCACACATGCCCACATATCCATATACCCACATGATCCGTTCCCTCCTGCACAGATTCATGCTGACCCATGTCTCCAGTTGAGCGTCGTCGGCGAGAGACGATCAACGAGGGCATCAACGAGCTGGCCAAGATTGTTCCTGGCTGTGAAAAGAACAAGGGGTCCATCCTGCAACGCGCCGTTGTGTTCATCACGCAGCTGAAGGAGAACGAAACACAGAACATTGAGAAGTGGACGCTCGAGAAGCTGCTCACAGAACAAGCCATTGCCGAGCTGTCCGCCTCCAACGATAAGCTCAAGGCCGAGCTCGAGCGCCTCTACAGCGAGCTCGAAACCCTGCGCAACGAGAGAGGCAATGCCACGGCCGGCGAGGAGAAGGCAGAGGCGACGAGCTAGTATTCCCTTCGCGATCCTTGCTAGCCTCGCGGTTTATTGTTCTTTTATTGTCGTTCCGGTTTCTGTTTTCCCGCGTTTGTCACCACCTCGTCTTTCGCTTCTGTCGCTTCTTTCACCTCTTTCACTTCTTTCACTTCTTCATGTATTTCTTTCCTTGTTCGTCGCTCCTCTCTTTATGTGCTAGCAGGGTCCTGCTGCTCCGCGGTTTTTTACCCTCTCTGAAACCCTTTTTTGCGTTGTCTTATTTTTCTTTCCTTTTTTCTTTGGCTTTTTTTTGGCGCCCGTCCCCGCGAACACGTCATACATCAGGCAGACGCAGGGACAGTTCCAAACAGGGTACGCACACAAGTCTCCTTCTCAACTTTACCCCCGGGCGTCACATGACAGGCTTTGCCAGCATACATCAAAAAGGAGGGCACAGGTTATGATCCCCACGGCGTTTTCAGTCTTGCTTGTCCGACATATTGACGCGGCGGGAAAGCATTGTACGTTCTCGATGGATGTCAGAATGCATCGGACAGGGGCAAAGCTGGTGATGTGAGCTGCTTGACCTGATAGGGTGGGAGTTTCGCGTTTCAATGGCTCGGACGCCATGTTCATTTTGGTATTCTATTGTCTTTCTTCGGTATTCGTACGCATTGTCGATTCCTGTTTTTTCTTTCATTAATTATCGCGTACCCCAGCGTCTGGTCTCCGGGTTCGTTTCTGGCCCTAATACGAGTTCTTTGAAATCTTCTCTACCTTGTTGCACTTCTGGCCATGCTCCATATTCATGCTGCTGCTGTACAGAAACAGTTTGTAATATGAATGAGGTACAACACGATACAGGACGACTATCGGAACGGCGGCTTGTTTCGCATGACTTTCTCTGTTCGTTTACCTGTTTCAATTCCCTCTCGTCCGATATGGAGCCCTCATTGTCGTGTGCACCTACCCAAATATGCTTAGCACCGTCTGGTGCCGCCCTGCTGCAGGCCGCTTTCGAGATGGCGAATGCCGGTGCTACTCTGGCGTGTGGGGAAGATAACGGACACAAACAGCCATCCAAAAATGATGGCATAGATCACGTAGCCGCGAAGGTATAAAGGAACGACAAACGCCTGCCAAGGGAAAGGCAAGAGTCTGACCGAAAGCGGAGCCGGCGGGCAAGATGCAAAACGGGTAGGAGGCCCTGGTCTCGTGCTGGTCATCTCCAGAAAACAGAGAAGGAGCAAGTCCGTCGTAGCAACTTCCACATGGTCAAAACCTCATGCGCTCTCCGGGGTCCCTTGGCGCAGTTAGGGCATTATTGGCCGGCCACCTAGACGGCATATCAAGCGGCTGCCGTTGCCTTTTCTGATCTGGAGGTGTTGATGGCACGCACTGCTGCCAAAGGTACCCTTCCTAATCAGGCAAGTCCAGGCGGAGCCCAGCACTTTTGGCACTTTGTTGCCCCCCATCGATAGCTCCTTCTTCCTCAACCTCCCAGTGGTACCCCACCTCGTCATCTTTTTGGCTCGTCTTGCCATCGCCGCTGTCGCTCTTGCCATTGCTTCTCACTGTACGAAATACTTCGTGCCATTTTATGGTAATTTTTGCTACTATTCTTTTGGCATGGCGCCTCCCTTCCCCAACTAACGGGCGTGCCACATGCACTAGGGGCAATCGGTTCCAACCCCAGTTCCGTCCCTGAGCTGCTCCTGCCTTACCTATGCCGTCAGTAACTACCCGCCGATGATAAGGCAAGACCCAGCTGGACGACCTGGTCGCTGGAGCTTCACTCTAGCGCAGCTTCTCGTGCCCTTTTTGTCCTGTGCCATTCCCTGTAGCCAGCTCCATCCACAGAGTAGGACCAATACCAGACGATCGTCTCGTCACACTGCAGCCCACCTTGGATGCGCACCTCTCCAAGTTCTCCACTTGAGATTCCGGCAGAGGCGCGCCTTCCCCATCCATCGACGCTCTTTGTCAATGTACGGCAACTGCTTTATTTCTTCCCCTCCTGCCCTCCGCTCCCTTCGCTCCCTCCATATTTAGTTTCAATCTCTCTCTTTTTTCCGTTTTGGAAACTGCTTTCCCGGATCTTCCTTCCCTTCTTTCTTTTTCGTCTTTGTCTCGTGGAGCAACCAATTGGCTCGAGGACAACCCACAGTTTTACCTCTCACAACCTTTATCGCAGTGACGCCGACCTCCCATCCCACCTTGATTTGCTCGCTTCGAATAGCTCGATTGAGCAACCCAACCCTCTTCTTTCGTCTTTCTCTCTCTTCGTCCTTCTGTCTCACGCCTTGGTTTTCGTCCTCGTCACCTTTGACATCTCCTCTTCAGCTCCTTCCTTGTGATCCTCTGCTCCTTCCCGTTACTACATAAACAATGGTTGCTGTCACCGCTCTCCGGGGCGGCAGCCGCCACCTGGCTCGCTCTTTCCTCACGCCAACTGCCTCCTTTTCGTCCTCCGCCTCCTCTTATTCTTCTTCTGCGTCTTCTCTTCTCCGTCGCTCGGCACGCCGCCTCCCTGCTTCGTCCGTCTTCCGCACCATGGGCTCCGCTCCTTACTCCTCCGCGGCCAACCAGCTGTCGACCCTGCTGGCAGACGAGCCCAGCGGTCCCTCGATTCAGGTGGCCATCCCGGGCCCCAAGGCCAAGGCCGTGGCCGACGACCTCAACACTGTTTTCGACACTCGCGCCTTGAACATGGTCGCCGACTACCGCAAGTCACACGGCAACTACATTGTCGACCCTGATGGCAACGTGCTGCTGGACGTGTACGCCCAGATTGCCTCCATCCCGGTCGGCTACAACAACCCGGCTCTGCTGGCTGCTGCTCAGTCGGAGGAGATGGCCCAGGCCCTGATCAACCGCCCGGCTCTAGGCAACTTCCCTTCGGTCGACTGGGCCGACATTCTGCGCTCTGGCATCCTCAAGGTGGCCCCGCCCGGCCTGGACCAGGTGTTCACCGCACTCGCCGGTTCCGACGCCAACGAGACAGCCTACAAGGCCGCGTTCATGTGGCGCCGCCAGAAGGAGCGCGGTGGCCCCAGCGTCGAGTTCACTGAGGAAGAGATGAACAGCGCCATGGTCAACCACGGCCCCGGCGCGCCCGACCTGTCCATCTTGTCCTTCAAGTCGGCCTTCCACGGTCGGTTGTTCGGCTCGCTGTCGACCACCCGCTCCAAGCCGATCCACAAACTAGACATCCCTGCCTTTGACTGGCCCCGCGCTACCTTCCCCGAGATCAAGTACCCGCTTGAGGAGCATGCGGAGGAGAACGCCAAGGCCGAGGCCGCTGCCCTGGCCGAGGTCGAAGATCTGATCCTCAACTTCCACTCCCCGCCCGCCGCCGTCGTTGTCGAGCCGATTCAGTCCGAGGGCGGTGACAACCACGCATCGCCGGCCTTCTTCCGCGGCCTGCGCGAGGTGACCCGCAAGCACGGTGTGCTCATGATTGTCGACGAGGTGCAGACCGGTGTGGGCGCGACGGGCAAGTTCTGGGCCCATGAGCATTGGAACCTGCCCCACCCGCCCGACATGGTGACCTTCTCCAAGAAGGCCCAGACCGCCGGCTACTACTTTGGCAACCCCGAGCTGCGCCCCAACAAGCCATACCGCCAATTCAACACATGGATGGGCGACCCGGCCCGCGCCCTGCTCTTCCGCGCCATCATTGACTACATCCAGAAGAACGACCTAGTCGCCCAGACCGCCCGCGTCGGCGACTACCTGTTTGGCAAGCTCGAGAAGTTGGCCGCCCAGTACCCCGACCAGTTCGCCAACCTGCGCGGCAAGGGCCAGGGCACTTTCATTGCATTTGACAACCCGAAGCGTGATGCGTTCCTGGCCAAGGCCAAGACCTTTGGCGTCAACATTGGCGGCTCTGGTGCCAACGCTGTGCGTTTGCGGCCAATGCTAATCTTCCAGGAGAAGCACGCCGATATCCTGATCGATGCCCTCGAGAAGATCGTCAAGTCGCTGTAAAGGAGCCGTGTCGCAAGTCGATGCAAGAACAAAATAAACAAAAGAAATGAAACAAACGACAGAAAATATGTGGTCGCGGAGGTAGAACCATATAACGGGAAACGAAACAAAGAGTGGGCAGGACGAGTGGGATGATTTTTTTACGGTTTTCATCATTAGTTGTTTTCCTTTGCAGTGCTGTCTGCCACATAATAATTCAAGTCGATCGAAATTGCCACATGAATTACTCCGTACTCTTGAAGGTGTATATTATGAATTGCGCTGTGGTTTATTTTATTTTTGCTCCATTTTTCAACTTATTCAAAAAAGTAAAGGTGTTCAAATTTTAACTGATCAACCGACCTGTCTCGTCAGTAAGTGCGCTCATGCATTGTTGCCAATGCTGGTATTCGAAAATTTTTAAAAAATTATACATGAAAAGAGTACCCTGTATATGGAAGAGGTAGATATAAATAAATAGAAATAACGCCAAAGGAGACGCAGGGAACCCAGAAAACATGCACAGTCACCCCGATGATACAAAACTGTTGAAACAGGGGAATTAAAAGAGAACATTGGCCGCGAACACAATTTTTACTCCAGCTAGAAACCATCCCACCTTTTTGAAAATGTTGAAAAAAGAAGCGTGGACAACGATACGAGAAGGAGAACGTATTAACCAAAGGAAAGAAAAGAGAGAATAAAAGTACTAAAACAATAAAACCCAGGCAAATAATGACATAAACACTGAATAAGGGCCGAAAAGCCAAGGGGTGAAATATATGCTCGCCACTCCCGTTTTGTTGCTGCAGCACACGAACAAGTTCCATGCTCTTTACTGTCCGCCTGCGCCACTCACGGCAACCGGTGATACTTGTCCGGCAGGGCCATTTTGTTTTGTCTGCTCTTCAAAGTCGCGCATGGCGTCCTCGTTCTCACGCCGCAGTGCCTCCTCTTCCTCTTCCCGCTGCCGCCGAGCTGCTGCAAGTTGCTCATCCTCGTCTTCGGCGGGTGGAGGTGGCGGCGGTGGCGGCGTGGGTGGTGTCAGGGTACCGGCGTTGGCCTCTTCGTCTTTGAGCCTCTTGATGGACGGCGTCTCGGATGGCGTGCCGTTGGGTGATGCTCCAATAGGAGCACCGTTTTCTCGTCTACTGCCTGTATCACCAACAAAGCCGCTGTCGGCCCGTTTGCGTTTCCGGTCCGATGTTTCGGGAGAGAGCGTCGTCGCATCATCTGTGGCTGGCTTGGCCCCGTCATCGTCGCTCAGCACCATATCGTCGAGAGCGGCGAGATCCTCATCCTTGTTCTGGTTCTTGCTGCCGGCTGCCGCGGCAGAGGATGAGTCTGTCACAGCCGCCATCTCTGTGTCTTTGCTGCCCGTGACTGCGTCGCCAGACGCAGAAAACACAGCGGCCGCCGCTTGCTTTCCGCCGCCATCGTCTTGGCGGTCGGCCTTACCAGCCTTTTTCTTTTCGTGCTCCTCGTACTTTTTGACGGCCCGCTCAAAGTAATCGTGAACGTGCACCTTCATTTTTTTGGCCAGTGCCGGTGAAATGGTGTTGGGGTCATCCACACGATTGTTCTTGTAGTCCGAGGCAACAATCTTTTTGCTGATATCTTTGCCAAGCCTTTTGATCTCTTCTCTGGGTAGTCGGTTGCGGTACCGATCGGTGACAGATTTGATATGGGGATGAAGCTATGTAGACAAAATTAGCTCTGCGCAACAATCCGTGTAGAAACGAAAAAAAAAAAAAAAAAAAAAAAAAAAAAAAAAAAAAAAAAAAAAAAAAAATTTAAGGCTAGGGGTCGCTGAGGCACATACAGTATTTTCGTAGATTTTCTGCTGCTTTTCGATGGGTAGAGACCGCCACCGTTCGCTTTTCGGCTCCTGGACGGGTGTTTTGGCGGCTTGCGGGGTGTGAGTGATGGATGGCCGCGGCGCTTGCTTTGTAAGGCGGTCGATAATATCCTGCACAGCGTCTATATCCTGCTGAGCTTTAGTCAGGCCCCTTACGATTTCGGTAGGCGCCGTGGGTCGCTTCCATGTAGTTGCACCGCTCTTGTTGTAGTAGTACACGTTGCCCTTGGGGTCTGTCGCACTAAACCAGCCAGACGGCAGGTTCTGTGTGGCAGTCTGGCTGTTGTTCATCGGCTTCCGCTGGTTCCGTGGCGTCCCGTTGTTGCTATGGCTGTTGCCGTTAATAAAAAAGTTGCTGTTCCGCTGCGGGATGTTGCTCCGTGGTCCCTTGGGGATGTTCATGCCGTGCAGCGGCGAGACGGGCCGCGGGCGGGGGGTGTTGGTGTCGTCTGCGCTTTCGTTGTTCTGCACATCACGGCCGCGACGGTCCTCGAACGCACTGACCGGCGCATTCGGGTCGAACTTCTTGCGTGGGATGCGGTAGGCAGTCTGCAGCTTGTCCCACTCCTCCAGGAGGCGCTTCGACTCGGCAGCCACGTCTTCATGCTCCGACGTCGACAGGTCCCTGATGGCAAGCTCGATGTTGGAGTCGGAGATCTTGTTCTTGGTCAAGCGTGGGAACATGTACAGGATGTCGAGCACCTGCAGGACGACATTATTGTCGTCCTTGAACAGAGTCAGGATGGAACAGAGGATCTGGTAGCCGTGCATGCGGACCACGCGGTGGAGGACACGCTCGTCGTCGCGAGCAGCCTGGATGCGGGCCAGAAGCTTGACAGCAATCCACTTCTCCTTGCACTGCATGAGCGCAGCCATGACTTTGGTGACGCCGTCCTCCGCCAGACCCGATTGCTGCAGGCTGCTGACGTACTCCTCGTCGTCCTCGTTGGGCTTCTTGCGCCGCTGCTTTTTGGCCACGGTCGTGTCCCAGCTATCCGGGTCGTCGATGCCGAGGGCCTCGATGGTCGCCAAGGAGAGCTTGGTCGCCCGCTCGGTCTGGGTCTTGCCGCCGATGAAGCCGGTACAGTTGGGCTCGCCACAGTAACATGGCTGGGGGTCGGCGCCGTAGCGGTCGACGTTGTAGTCGAACACGAGCTCCTCGCCCGCCCGGATCGACCGGCCAGCAAAAATGCCCATGCGCAGCTTGTTGCCGACCACCCACTTATCAACGTAGCAGTTGGGGTTGCACGAGTGGTTGCAGAAGCGACCCAGGTTGCCTTTGCGCGTGGCATCGACAAACTCGCTCTTTGTGAGGGACATGAAGTAAAAGTGCTTGATGCCCTCCTCGTCATACTGGATCATTCGCCGGCGAAAGGTGGGCTCGTTGATGACTTCGCCGATATACTCGAAGATGAACTCGTTTTGGTGCAGGTCCGCGTCGGTGCGGAGGCCAAAGCCCTTCTTTTCGGTCTTGATGACAGACACGCTTGCATATTGCCTCTGCTGAAATCTCTGGTTTTGGCAGTGGTCGCCGCAGTTGCAGCCACCTTCTACACACTCCATCTTGGTCGCGCGGTTGATGCAGTCGCTGTCCTCGCCGCAGGACATGTTGCGCCCGTCATCTACAAAATTCACGTTAGTAGCCAATCAACGGACAATAACTGGCTTTCTGAGAAGACACGTACGCAGTTCCTCGGCGCAGTCGCAGTCAAAAGCATCGTTGTCTGAGGAGCCCATGTTCTTTGAGCCGTACAGGCAGTCCTCAATGACCTGAAACTTGCTGGTGGCCTCGGCTGTGGCGTCGGGAAGCTGGTCGAAGAGCATCCGGTTCGGCCTCGAAGACGGCGTCGCAGACCGTGACGCCTTGGCCGACGACTTTCGGTTTGGCCGGGATGCGGCGGCGCTCATGTCTGGAGTCGAGACGTCGCTAGGTGATGGCTGTACATCGTCGTCGGGTGACCGGCTGCGCGAGACCGACTGTCCTTTTGATCCGTTGGGCGTGGCGGACCCCTGGAAAGGGCTGGCCTCGCTCTTCACGGCCACTCGTACGCCATTCTGGGCTCGCGTGCCATTCGTCCTTGTGCCGGCGGTCGTCATGTTCGCAGCAGGTCCGCGTGAGGCGTGTGGTATCCGCACATCGTCGTCCATCTGCTACGTCTGTGGTATCGGTGGCACCGCCGTCGCAGTCGCCAATGTCGGTGTTTGTCTTCAGGAGCCCGCCTCCGTGCGGTGTAGATTTGGGGCTACACTTCGATCTCAGACCGCTCTCACGCGCAACGCGGTTCTTTGTAGGTCGAAGCGACAGGCTAAGCCGACAGTGATGTCAGGGGTTCTTGTTGCAGAACGTCGGCCTAGCATGGGATCAAGGACCGCCCGCTTGTCGAATGGCCCCGATCTGTCTTCGTCCGACGCCGTGCCAAGTGGCAATGGAGGCCGGACGGGCAACGGTTGGCGGGTTGGCCTCGAGGGTCGAGTTTCCTACTCGTGTCGTGCGGTGCTATCGAGCACGGTGGCGATTCGGACAAATGGCAGCGAAACTGTGACAGAGGCCAGAGACGGTCGGTGGTCGGCAACGCAAAGGAAAAGACGACAAGTCTGGCTGACGCGGTGCAAAAGCGGATGTGCAGGCGTGGATCTGGAGTGAAGGGGCCGCTTCGACGCTGCGTGCGGGCGAGGACAGGCGTGTTGCTCTAACGCGCGACGGCGTTAGTAAAATTTCACCCGGGAAAATGTCCTCTATTTTGCAGGGGGTGGAGAAGCCTATTGTATCTCCGTACGGGTAGCCCAATGCTGCAGAAGATGTTTTGTTATGCCTGAGGGAGAAGAGAGAAAGAGGGAAAACGGTGATTGAAAGTGGCGCACACGAAGTAGCAACATCTCTACGCTCGAGTGTTCGTTGCTCCTTCCCCAGCTCTATTCCTTTTCTCTTCCTTTTTGTTATCTCACTCTGTCGCTCTTTCCATTTTTTAGTTTGCATTCAGGGGCCCTTTGCGCTTTCCTCGCATGGGCATCACCTATGTGCATGCCGCTCTTCTCCTACCGAACGCGTGGGCGTAGGCTGTTGCGCATTTCTCAACTGGCAGCAGGCGCGACCGCCCACTGTGGGCATTGTACTACCACAGGTTCTAGCGCGCACTCTTTGTCGGATTAGCTGTAATTGCGACTGCCGGCAGGCGTTGCCTTCCGCCCGTAGTTTCTCTGCCAGTGGGGTTGTCTCTCTTTGATCCCATCGTCCACCATGGAATCCACATGGCATATGCGGAAGGCGCGACTCGTAGCCGCAATGGTTCTTCCCGCTCGCAGTACTTCTGCCAATAAATGCATTCTTTAGTGGTGTCCACTTGACACAACTGTGACCCGATGATGTGCTGCTTAAAACAATTCATTTTGTCCAGTGACACCATCGCGGTGATCTGCTATTTACCATTTTTTCTCATGGTATTTGTAACAATGTCACTTTGCCATATTTTATATTCGTCCCTGCTGGGCTAAGAGCTGGGCCTTGCCCCACTTTCGTCTGATCCAATATCAGCTGCAATTGGGCTGTGCTGTCAAAGTGCCAACGATTTCATTGCGCCAGTCGTTTGCCTTGTCGACGATCTGTGACAGCCTTGCGAGTGACTTGTCAACCGGTTCGTCCTAGCTAGAAAGTTCCCGGGGAATTCCACGTGGCGAGCCTGGTGTCTGCTCGAGCTTGCAGACCTTAAGTTGGTGGGAGGCTTTTCCCCAAGCTTTTCCAAGTTTACCGGCAATCTGGTGCAGGATCCCATCCGGAGTTAGACGGTGCACTCGATGGCCAGACCGCCCTTTGCCCCACGGCCTGCCGCTTGGAAAACGTTCAGGTCGAGTCGAGTAAAATCTCATACCGCGGAGTATGACCATGTCGTGCGTATAAATCAGGCAAGCCAGCCAAGCGGTCAAATTGTGTGTTGCATTGCACAATTCGTGACTCTCAAATCCGTGTTCGATCTCTTGTCTGGGCCGAGCATCCACAGTTTGGCAAAGAGAGGAACATTGCAGTCTATTTGGAGACGAGGCATTGAAACTTGATTCGACGGGTCAGACCCAATCGACGAGGACGCTGATGCAAGAGGCAGAAGATGGACCCCGTCTCTAAGCACTCGCAGGGCAGACCGTGGGACAACGTAGACGTGGAAGCATTGGCGCACAGCCCGGGGGACCACAACGCATAACTGCATGCAAAACTGGGTAAATTGTGTCAGCTCTTGGGACAATAAAACAGGCAGCCGGTGAGTGGTGCGCCAGCCTGTCGGATCCTGCGATTTGTTAGCTGCTGCTGTTAGAACGAGGCAAGTGCCGTCTTGCCAACGCATCATGCAGATATTATGTGGAGAAGAGCCCAGGCGAGAAGACGAAGGCATGCGGGCAGGGTAATGATGTAAAGAGCAACGTAGCTCAAGGGGGAGAAGTAAGTAAAACGCAGGGTGGCATAAGAAGTATAAATCAACGAAGCCTTTTGATGTCGCCCACATTGGGACCAAAATCAAACGCCTCTCTTCACATCTCCGTTTTTCGAGTCCGTCCCGGGACGGCCCACCTTGTGATACTTCGAATCCGTTCAATGGACCGGCCTACTCGACCTCGATACGACTCTCACTTCGTCAAACTGAGCCACAGGAACACGGAAGAACTGTTGGCGTGTGCTTTTATGTTCTTTTGTGTTCTTTTCATCCCTTACCCACCGCCTAGGAGGTAATTACCGAGACGGTGACTGTTCGGAAGCCGCTCCTGACTTGTTATTGGCAGACGCCGTCCACCTAACTAGCCATTCACACCTCACAAATCATCTTACCCTGGGCCTCGGCCACCGACTTTTACCTCCTGTCCCACTTTTTTGGGCGCTCGTTCAGCCCTTTCGTCTTCTGTCATCCATGTTGCACGCCGAGTTCACGTTAGACTCCCGGGCAGTCCCGTAGTGGGAAAAATAAGAACAGGGCAGAAACGACATCTCGCCTTCTGCCCTGTCCGGGCATGGCGTCCAGTGAGGGAACACCAGATGCCCAGGCCGACAGCTGAGTCCGGAGTCTGGACGGTCGATGACGGTTGAATTGTCTTTGTGTCACGCAAGCGCTGACCATGACCAGGCCGGAAAGGCTGAGAGAAACAAGAAGAAAAAAGAAAACAGAAAAAAAGGGACGAGGAGGGGCTTAACCGGAGGCCGCTCACTTGTTTTTTCAAGGAAAGACCAGCCACTGCCGGCGTATCGATTGCCCCGTGCCCTGTTGTCAGCGCAGTCGTTTCTCTTCTGCTCTTTCTCCTCATCATTTTGTTTGTCTCTTCCTGATTCGCAATTCTCTTTCTGTCACACGCTTGCAGGCCTCCGTCGGATGCCATCAACATCACAGCAGAAGAAGTGGCTGAGAAACTGGGGGGTGGGCAGTAGGCCGAAAGGGGATCCAGAAAAAGGAAAGAATCCAAGACTTGTAGCCCACGAACGGCGCAAAACAATGACCAAACCGGACAGACACAAAAAAGGTTGACTGGACTCGACAATGCTCTGCGAAGTGGACATTTATGGGGGTGTCAGGCGGTTTTAGTCGGACGGCCCCCATTGGCTGGCTGCAGCATCGTGCAGCGTGCATACACCTGCTCCTGCATGCAGGTTGTGTGAGAGGGTGCGTCCAGCAGACCTCTTATTTTCAGCAGCAGCTGGCTGGGCTGCAGGCGACAGATTGCGGACAGGCGATGCAGAGATGCAAGTGCATGAGAGCGAAAACAGCACAAAAAGTACATTTTTGGGAGACTGCGACTTGGGAGACTGAGAGAGAAAGAGAGAAACAGAGAGACAATAGCAGTCGCAGGAAGAAAGAACAGGCGGACCGTGACGTTCTTCACTGTCACTGCCTTGCGCATGCGCCGAGCGCGCGCAGAAAGCAGGCAGATGAGCGGAAATCGACGATATGACAGGAAAAGGGCCCACTGTTGTCGTCGTGCTAGATGTCGAGTGACGCCCGGCTGATCTTCTCGTTGGCTCCCGCATTTGTTAGGCTGGGTGAGTAAATATTGGCGCCCGCTCGGAAGGCGATCCAATTTGCTCAGAGCAGGATCGGGGCCCGCTTGTTGAAGACACAGGGGAGCAAGAAACAGCCATGCGAAAGATGAGGCAGCACACTTGATAAAAGAGAGGAAAAACAGGCAACTGGCAAGAGACAAATCGGTCTCTTGATCTGAAGGGTTTCCGAGGATGAGACAACGCAAAAGGAAGTTGTCGGTGTAATCGCATTTCTGACAAGAGAGACAAGAACAGAGGCAGAGGCACAGCAGCGCGATGTGTTGTCGCAAATCGCCACCGCCAGTTCCTGTTCCCTGTTCCCGCCGCGGTTATCTCGCTCGCCGGCCAAAGGTGCAGAGGCCGCTGTCGTGTACACAGTAGGCCGTGGAAGACGACTGGTATCGCGGGTCGATGCGGTTGAAGGAGAAGAGTGGCTGTTGCAGGAGGAAGGATGTGGCCCTGAATGGAAAAGGGCCTAGCACGACCAAACTCGTGTGGCCGCAGAAAAGTGGCCGCAAAAACGGCAGGAGGGAGGGGTGCAAATGGCTCTTTCCTCGTTTCCTGACAGCAGACTGCACAGATGGAGCACAAATGTTGGATGGCAACCGCGCACTTGCCCTTTGCCTTGCGGAACATTTATGTTTGTTCTTTCCTTGTGGGGTAATCACATTGACCAGGGATTGGCTCCCGGCCAAAAGGGCTTCTTGATCTTTGCGTTTGTCTGCAGTCAGCCGTCCCTTCCTGTTTTGTGACCCCAGATCTGGACTCTCACACTCGCTGCCTTGCATGGCTTGCGTCCTCTTGTTTTCTACATATACTTGTTTCTGTCATATTTTGTTTTGTTTTCTCTCTCTTCTTGATTCGTTGTCGCAAGCAATACCTTCCTTCCCCGTTGAAGGCCTGCGAGTTGCTATCCACTCGGTCACCTGTCGGTCACCTGCAAACATTCTGCCTCGCACCATCGCTCTTGCACAAAAACGTGCCTGCATCACCCTGCGCTGGACTCCCAAAAGGGCAAGAGAAGGGGAGAGCAGAGAGAAGGAGCCACGGCCAGGCCACACTGCTAAACGATCGCCGGGTCTCTTCTTTCCTCTCCTGCCGCGTCGGTGTCTCTCTCGCTCTTACCCTCTATCTGACCACTTCACACATCTCGCTCCTGTCCCTTTACCCTTTGTTTATTTTGGGTTTTGCCATCATCAACCTCACTTCGCCTTCTCCTTCGACTTTGCAGCGTTCAATGTCGCGCTTTCGCGTGTCTTATCTGGCCTGCATCAGCCCCCCCAGATCTCATCATTTCTTCCCGGCTCGACACCCAGACCCCTGACTGGCACCGACACGATACTACCGACTGTTACGACCCTTTCTCCCCATTCGGGGTACTTTACCTTGACTGGTCAGGCACTGCTGACCTTTTCTCCGTTTTGTTTCGTCGTTTGTTTCCTTGTCCTTGAGCCACCTGCTTCGCCTCGCCTCTTTGTGTTTTGTTTTCTTGTAGCGTGTGCGTGCCCTCGCTTGCCTCCGTCACCATATTTTGTTTGGTGACCATTTCTGTCTCCTGTATTACTCCACCACTTTTGTGGTATCGCTTTGTTTCCTCTCTTTCTTTTTATTCTATTTCTCTTGCTCACACTCTCGCTTCTGTCCCCTCCAACCTCTTCCCTCTCTGCCCCCTCCTTCCACGCGCCAACCCTTGTCCTTGCTTGCCAGCTATATCCGCTGTCGATTTCAAACAGCGCTCCACCTCGTCTCCGTCTCTCATGTCTCTCACTGGCCTTGTCTGGACCCTCGCCAACAGTAGCTCTTCTTTATCGAGAGGACACCCCCCTGGTAACACCCGGTCAAGCAGGTGGGCTTCAAAATCGTCACCTCCCAGATAAAAAGAGTCAAAAAACAGATCGAGCACGGCCAGCAGCGAAGGAGATCTGTGTCCTGCTTCTTCTGTCCTACCTTACGGCATTTCTCATTTCTCTTTACCGTCTCCGTTCTCTGTTCTCTTAAGGTCCCCTGGTCCTCGCTGGTGTTTTCGTGTTGACTATACCCTTTCCGAAGCCAATCTAGCTCCCGCAAAAGACGCGCGCTTGCTCCAGTTTTGGTCTTTTGCGCGTCTTCCGTCGACCCTCAGACACCAGGAATATCTTAACAACAGGCTGGCACCCCTCGTCTTGTCCTCCGTGGCCTTCTGCTGGTTGATTCTTCCGCCGCCAACTTCAGGCAACGCCGCCGCCGCCTTTTTGTATTATTACAACCCCCAGAGGAAGAAGTCACCAGAGTCACTCTACTCGCTTTAACGATTGTCGCTTTCATTTCACTCTCGCCTCCCACCTTACTTTTCAGCAGTTGCTTTTCCTGGCCTCAGAGCCGCTACCATATTCGAGGCCGTTTCCCAAGTGCCTAACGTTATATTCGAAGTGAACTCTTTTCGTCGCTCCCTTTTCATTGCAAACATAATTTCTGTTTTCAAAAGGCCTTCCCTGGTTTGCAAAGTCTCCTGTCGCGTGTTGTCTGGAGACATACTGGGCCTCTTACCTCTCCATGGCTCATCGTGGGCCGTGCTCCCGGCAAGCTTTTCACTCTTTCACGGTCTGTTTCTTTGCATGGTTGTAAAGATCCGTTTACTTCTTTTCATCGACGACTGAGCCACAGGAAACATCGCATTACTGTGATTACCTCCACCGCCGCATTTCAAATGTCGTTCCACTGACCTCCCTGCCCCGTTCCCTTCTCCAACCCGTCTGACACGACTCCCCCATCCTGGTATGACGCCGGAGCCGGTGCCAGAAGGCCCTGCTTTTGAAAATGGACACATCATTTGACGACCGGGAAAAGGTTAGCATATATGACGCATTCGCAAACGCCGTGGTAAAACGCTTCGCTAACACGACTGACAGCGGTTCATTCTTGCAGAGATGGTCAAGGCCAGCCACCTTGATGTCAGTGCAGTGGTCAGCTTCGTCAAGCACTTCAACATCTCGCCCGACTGGCATGAGATGCAGATACCGCATGGTGCGCAAGCATAGGCTTTCCACTTCATTACCTTCGCGTTCCATACCGTGGGAGGGGAGAGGATGGCAAAGCAGATAAAGGCCGTTACTTACATTTATTGTTGTCTAGGTCGCACTATAAACCAGTGTAGGCAAGCCGCAGCCTCCATGGGCATCGAAACGCCACCGACGTTTACACAACAGCACCTTCAACAACAATTCCAGCAACCGGGGCCACAATACCCTCAACAACACCGCCAACAATCCGAGCCGCAAAACTCGACTGTAGCCCAGCAGCATCAGCAGCATCGAGCTCCCCAGCAGCCGCAACATCTCCAGAACCTCCAGCACCAGCAACAGCAGCAGCATCAACGACGCCAGCTCCAGCAACAGCCGCCTCTCCAGGTTCCAGCCCCGGTCGCGAAGCGCAAATCGTCCAGTGCCTCGAGCGAGAATGTCCCGAAGAGGCAGGCAGTTTCTCCTACCGATATAAATGGCCCGTCGCGTGCTCGCAGTATCCAGCCACGACCGCCACCAGCTAATGGCGCCCCCTTTGAGAGACAGACGCCTGGTGCGATTACGCCCCCAACTCAAACCCTACGTAAGAAAAGGGGTAGACCATCAAGGGCAGATAAGATTGCCCAGGCTCAGGCTGCCAGGTTGACAAACAATCCCTTCCCATTCTTGGCACCTGCAGGCAAACCTCCATCGATAAACACACCGCTGGCAGGCCAGCCAGCCACGATGAACAATTATGGACAACCTGTCAACTACTCCCCGCAAATACGGTCAGCTAGGATCCACAGTCCGGCCGTTGAAGTGACCGCGGAAGCAAGTGTAAGTACCACTTCCTGGCAGTCTAGGGCGAGAAGCATGGTTTAACAGTGGTTTAGCCTATACCACCAGGCGGATACTTGAAGCCGGCAGAGGATCGGAAACTGGCGCCTCTGAAGCACGAAACTTCGCCCACCGGCCTGAAATCAGACGATGCGTTGCCCGACCGGCCGAAAACACCACCCCCCGAACAAGACTCGCAAGCTGCACAAAACTTAGGGTCTCATTGAGACGGCAATCCCGGCCGTTGTACAACGGGAGTGCGGCATTCCAGCAGAAGCTACGATACCCGATCATGACGCTCCACGGTCTTGCTTCTCTAAACTCATTTACGACGCTAAAGATAAGCACGCTGCACCCGTATACTTACACTCAAAGTTTTTTTTTTCCCCTTACAATGTTGATTTCTGCATTTTCATCCCCGACGTTTCTCGCCTTCATTTCTCCAACACTACATCTTGAGATATCCCATTCTAGATGGCTGCATACCAGGTTACGCGACGATGTCGGCATCCATGGTTTCCTTTCTGGTTTATTGTTTTCTTAACTTACTTAATGTTGGCGTCTTTGGTTTATGGGTGATTCTAGAACACAAGGTGGGCGGCCAAGTTTGAATATCTATGTTCTTGTAACGGAGGCTTATGTTTTTTGTTTCTCCTTCTTTCCTTTGTTATGGTCGAAGTTGTGTATCGAATGATGTCTGAACGGCACAGACTGTAAGATAGGGAAGGGTCGAGGGATACTGATGATTTAATATTTTTTAATAAACATTACGGTACTCACACCATTGGCGGAGTCGGCACCGGATCTTATTTTGCGATAGCTTCCCACACTCAGGTCTGTCTACGCGACTTTTTTGTCTTAACTAAAAAGAGTAAAGGGGCTTGGGTATATTATTTCTTCTTCCAAGTGAAAGACTTTGCAAGCCTTCAACGAAATATGTAGAAACCACATAGAAATCCCTTTAGGAAGAAGAGCCAAAACGTGGCATATAGGAAAATAAGACTTTTTGCGACTAAGAATATATCGATAGGAGAAAAAAGCGAAAGAAAACGCCGAAGGCCGTCTAAAAAAAGCAAAATAACGACGCGCAGCTCGGATGTGAGCGCGGTAGATATGTGGCCAGAAATGAGATGCAAAGAGTAAGATAAATAAAAGATAAGGAAGGCTAGATAGGGAGAGAGAGAGAATGAGAAAACGAGAAAAGAGAAAAGTGAAAGGAATGGGGCGAGAGACAAATAGGGTGAGGAAAAAAAGATAGCCAGGTCAGTGGTTCTTGCCTAGGCTTTGGAGGTTGACGAGCTCGGCGTACCGACCGTTGCGGTGCATCAGCTCGGTGTGGGTGCCCTTCTCGACAATGCGGCCCTGGTCGAACACGTAGATGATGTCGGCCTTCTGGATTGTAGACAGACGATGGGCGACGGCAATGGTCGTGCGGCCCTTGGCGGCCTTGTCCAGAGCAGCCTGCACAACCTTTTCACTCTCGCTGTCGAGTGCGGATGTGGCTTCGTCGAGGAGACTACAGAGGTGTCAGCAACTCGTTCAAGGAACAATATAAGATAAAATGGAGTAAGGAGGAGACGGAGGAGTGTAGACATACAGGATCTTGGGATCACGGATCAGGGCACGCGCAATGGCGATGCGCTGCTTCTGACCACCACTCAACAGGGTACCCTTGCTACCGACCAGGGTGTTGAACCCGTCTGGCAAGCTCATGATAAAGTCGTAGATGTTGGCTTCGCGGCACGCAAACTCGACGTCGGCATCCGACACTTGCTTATCATCAATGGCACCGAGCAGGATGTTCTCCTTGATGGTACCCATGTACAGAGTCGGTTCCTGTGACACCAGCGCAATACCCTTGCGGTACTCGTTGACATTCAGGGTGCTGATCTCCTTGCCGTCGAGGTAGATGCCGCCGGCAAGCGGGTCGTAGAAACGCTCTAGCAGTGCAATCGTGGTGGACTTTCCACAACCAGAGGCACCGACCAGGGCAATGTATTGGCCAGGCTCTATGCTCAGGTCCAGGCCACGCAGAACGGGCTGCTCCAGGCGAGTCGGATAGCGGAAATGGACGTCACGGAACTCAATGTGCTCATGGGACGTGACGGGTGCACCCGACTCAGACCACGAGTCAATGACAACCTTGTTGTCGAATAGTTTCAAAAGTTCGGCACTGGCATGCTTCGCCTTGCCCATGTCGGGGGCGAAGGAGAAGACCGTACCGGCAGACTGAGCGCCGAATATGACGGACTGGAAAACGAGGAAGAAGCTGAACATGGTGTACTCGCCTTCGGAGAGCAGCTTACCGCCATACCAGAAACCGAGGGCAAGAACGAGGAAAGTCAAAGACTGCGATGCCGCATAGAGCGACGACGATTTGAGAATCGAGCGGGTCGACGACTTCAGCTGATCAGCGAGGTTCTCACGGTAGTGGAGGAGGACATCCTCCTCGCGGGTCAGGGAGGCGACGGTGCGGATGGCCGTGATGGCCTCCGAGGCATAGCTGGCCGAGCTCTCGTAGGCCTTCTTGGCACGCTCGCGGTAGTGGGCAAGCATCCAGAAGCGGAAGAAACCGCATCCGAGCAGCAGGGGAATGGTGGCGGTACAGACGAGCGCAAGCTTCCATCCAATAATGATGGATACAGTCAGGGCGGCAACCAGCGTGGTCGTCACCGAAAGAATGGTGCCGAGTGTGGCACCGCTGAGACCAGCAACGTGCGTGACCTCGGTAGACAGGAACGACGTCAAAGCACCCGAGGTGTTCTCGTCCTTGTCAAAGAAGGCAATGTCCTGGCGAAGCATGGTGCGGAAGGCACGGTCGCGGGCGCGGTGAACTAGTCTCTCAGAGCACCGGGCGAAGATGATACCTTGCACACTGTAGGCAATAAAGATGACAATGGCAAGCATCAGGAACATGAGACACCAGAAGCGGGCATCGTGGGCCACCTGGTCCCGGTTGGCGGGGGTGATGATGACAGAGAGCGTGCTGATTTCCTTGGCGAAGAAGACGGATTGGGTTGGATTGCCGCCACCGCATATGATGGAGAATAACAGGGCAACGAGCATGAGCTTCCACTCATGTTTGTTAAACGAGGCAATCAGCTTGATGAGAGTACCGAGTCCATATTTGGTCTCTGCCTCCTCAGACTTGCGCGCCTGGGCGGCAATGCTGGAAACGGACTTGCGGGTGCTCGAGCGCTGTAACTTTTCCTTGATGTTGTCATCAGGATCGGCCAGGTAGCCAGCCTCGACATCTTTGCCAGACGCAGCGTCAGCCGCGGGACCAGAAGAGGACGCAGAGGCATTGGCAGCACCATCCTTGTTGGCAGACGAGATCGTGCGGATAAGGTGGGCATCCATCTCGGCGTCGATGGCTTCGTCGTCCTCAGACTTGACGTCGTTGACGACCTCAATGCTCTGCGCGCTGACCAGGTTGAAGTACGCACCACGAGCTTCAATCAGCTCGTTGTGCGTACCCTGCTCGACGATGCGGCCTTGAGACATGACGACAATGTTGTGGGCATCCTTGATGGTGCTGAGACGGTGGGCAATGGTGATGGTGGTGCGACCCTCGGAGGCGACGTCCAAGGCCGCCTGGACGACACCTTCAGAGCGGGTATCGAGAGCAGAGGTGGCCTCGTCCAGCAGCAAGATCTTGGGATCTGAGACGATAGCACGGGCAATGGCAATACGCTGTTTCTGGCCACCAGAGAGCAGGAAACCGCGCTCGCCGACGTTTGTCTCGTATCCCTCTGGCAGGGCTGTGACAAAGTCGTGGGCATTGGCCTTCTTGGCGGCGCCAATGATGAGCTCACGTTTCTCCTCGTCGCTGACGTGCTCATGCTTGCTGCCAATCAGACCGTGGGCGATGTTGTTGAAAATTGTGGTGCCGAACAGAACGGGTTCCTGCTGCACCAGAGCAATGTTCTGGCGCAGCCAGCGAAGGTTCAGTTTGCTGATGTCGTGGTCGTCGAGGTACACAGTACCCTGAACAGGGTTGTAGAAACGCTCAACCAGGCCAACAATGGTCGACTTGCCTGAGCCAGAAGCACCGACGAGCGCGGTGGTCTTGCCAGCGGGAATAACGAGTGAGATGTCCTCCATTACAACGACCTCGGGACGTGACGGATAAATGTGCTTGACGTGGTCCAAGCGAATTGTGCCCTGAAGGTTTTCAATCTTGTCGCCTTCGTCGGACGAGGGATCCAGGCACGAGATGCGGTCGATTGTGTTGTAGATCTTGGCGGCGGCAGCCAGGCCTGTGGTGAAAGCCTGCAGGTTGGGCGCGACGTTGCCGAGGTTGAAGGCACCGATCATAACAGCCATCATGATGATCAGGACCTTGGACAGGGGGATGGTGCCGTCGAGCAAGAAGTTGGAGCCGACGTAGAAGGCCAGGCCGTAGTTGAGGTACAGAACCAGCATCATGCCGGCAATGAGCATGCCCAAGCTGGACTTGACACGGAAACCGGCCTTCTCGGCACGAGTCAGGTAGATGTCGTACTGCTTGGCAAGACGGTCCTGGGTGCCAAAGGCGACACAATTGCGGATGGAGCTCAGGACTTCCTCGGCGACGCTGCCGCCCTCGGCATAGGCGTTAACGGACTCCTTGCCGTACTTGACAATGAAGCGCGAGCCACCGCCCATGACAAGAACAAGAGCCACGAGCGTAGACACGAGGATCAGCGTCATCTTCCAGTACTCCACGAAGCCAATGACGAACGCTGTGACAAAGGTGGCCATGGCAGACAGTGTCAAGCCGACCTTTTCGGAGATACCCTCCTGGATCAAGTTGGTGTCGGCGGTGATGCGGGTGGTGACCTCACCAGCGCCGAGCTTGTCGAAGAAGCCAATGTTCTGGCGCATGCAGCTGTCGAGGTAGTGCTCGCGAATTTTGCCGCTGATGTGTTCGCCAGTATAGATGAAGCCGACGGTGGAGATGTAGGTGGTGACGAACTCGCCGATGGCCAGGTAGACGAAGTAGAGCACGAGATGGGACAGTTTGCTCATGAAGGCCTCCCGGCCGACCTGGCCGTTGAAGAAGCCCTGGAAGCTGCCCTGTAGGTTACCAAAGATGACCGTCATGAGGGGCAGCGCAGCACCCGAGGCAATGGCACAGATGGCAGACACGATCAGGATGGCAATGTCCACGCGGGTGGAGTAGCGGTAGAGAGTGCCGAAGCCGACCTTGACGGTGGCGGTGTCAACCTGGAGGCGGAGGATGGCGGCCTCGTCGGCGGGCAGATGGGCGTATAGGTCGACATTCTCGGCCGGATCCGGGACTTTGACGACGCGGGAGTCGGCTTTTTCGAGATCTAGAGGGCTGGCCTGGCCGGACGCCTTGGCGGGAGCGCGCTTCTCGTCAGACGACTCGTCGGCATGGCTCGAGGCGGCCTTGGAAGCCGGTGCACCTGCGGGTGCGGGCGCATCGTTGGCCTTCTCGGAGGCGCTGCTGGCCGCGGCCTCGTGTGCCTTGTCAGACACGTCGTCGGCAGCCATTGTGGAGGGCCAAAAAGAACGAATTTAGAAGTACAGAAAAAAGAAGTAAAAAGGTGGATAAAAGAGAGCCTGGCTTTCGTCAAAACACCCCCCTTGCTACTGCTCGATGCTCTCCTTCGGAGAACAGCTGAGGCAGTAAGGTCTTTGGGGGGGTTTGAAGGCTGGAGCGTGGGGGACGGCGGTCGTAGTCCGGGGTCGAGTCAATTCCGCACAATAAGCTGTCGATCCGATCGGTATGCGATGGTGAGGTTGTGTTGTCGAGGCGCTGAGTGAGAAATGGGATGAAGAATGTGGAGGTGGAGAAGTGGGAAAGGAAAGAAAAAGAAAGTAAACAGAGCTGCGACAAACAAAACAAACAGCGAGGCAACGTAAATAGATGTGAAAGGAGCGAAGTGAAGAGCGAAGACAAGAAAGTCGAAGAGGAGTCGGCGACAGATAAGAACCGTCGGGGTTCGGGGATGAGGAATCACAACAAAAATAAAGGAAAAGGGGAAGAAGGGAGAGTAGAGAGAGGGCGAGCAGGAAAGAAATCCAAAGCAGCTAGAAAAGGGCACAAAAGGTTTGTGGTGCAGGATGCAGCCGATAGCTAAAAAAGGAAGGCGTTGGGGGCGAATACTGGAAACGTAAAACGGCAAGAGGCAACGAACGGACAGAAGCTTCTTTCCTTGCCGGGAAGCAAGACGGGACGGGGTTCCACAGGGGAAGGTGCCTGCCTGGGAGGATGGGTTTTGCGTTTTGGCTTGGTTTGACAAAGAAGGTAGGCACGCCGTAATTCGTACATTGCTATTATGAACGATGAACAGCGTTCGACGGCAGGACGGAAAGTTGCCTTGTCCGTCCACCGTTACGCCCAGGACATTCTACAGTCTACGTGGGCAAGACGGACAGACCGCTCGCTCCTGCTGTCTGTTCGTTGGAACGGCCCAAGCAACGTTCCAAAAAGGAATGAACCAAGAAACACGACACATGGAACAGCACGCTTGAACTGATTGAACCAACGGCAGTTCCTTTTCATGCCTTGTCCGACTAGTACAGTCCTTGACGCCACGCTGCGTTGCTGGCGAGGCGTTGCTGGCGAGATGATATCGAGATGCGGGAACGACATATCTCGCAAGGCACAGCATATCACGAAGGACGGTTGAAAAGGTTGGAATCACGGTGTCAGCAATCTTGCCAATGCCCCGTCTATCTTTGTAAGGCACTCTACGAAGTATTCTATTTTTGTTGTTGTTTTCCCTTGGCGGGTACGGACATTCCACGCATCTCCGTCGCCGGGGAATTGTCATCATCTTGCTTCATATCTCACCTCGCCGGTGGCCGTCTGTCACAAGAGACTGGCGTTTTTGTCGGTCGATGAGCCATGCAAGCGAACCTTTACGCCCGCCAGTCGTCTTACTTCTCTCTTCCTACTGGAACCGACCGAACACCCTGTTGCAGGTTCTTTCGGAAGGAAATAAGTACCTTCCCGTCTTGGTACCCTTGTGATGCGGACACCAAGAAAAGGGTACTTGGCGTAGGACTGACTACGGCTGTACCTCTCTCTCCACATCCTCTCGGGGACACGGGCTCATGGGGGATCCGACTAATCGCAGTTTGGGCGGCCTGTTGGTGTCCTTTGTCGGGGGTTTTTTTTTTCGAGACGTTTTGACACATCGGGCCAATGCCTCCCCCCGTCCATACGAAAAAACGCTTGTTCGTACTAGTTTTCCGCCAATTTTCGTTCTCGCTTTCGCAGTATCCACCCCGACTAGGAAGGAGGGAGTGGGCCCACCGAGCAGCGTCTTCCGCGTGTTGTGTCGGCCGACAAAATCTTACTTATCAAGCAAGCCCATTTTCCCACGCGTCAAGCTTGGACGCAAGTCGAGGTAGGAGGCCCTGCGGAACCAATCTCGGCTAGGCTGTGTCCCGCAGCGACGATGCCATACGCGAAGTTATTTGGGGGGCAACTGCAAGCGGGCGGTTGGATTTGTTGCAGCCTGTGCCCGTATTTGCTATGGCACTTTGTACGATGCATGTTGTATTTCGTACGACATACTGCATGAGGAGTACGGATCCCAGCGCAGGAGGATCGTCTTACTTTGGAATTGACGATATATTGGCATGGCAGATCCCGTAGCACGTCGCGTGGTTCCAAAGTATTACTGCCCGTCCTTTTTGGGGCCGGTGCAACTGATGCGACAAGGCTCCGAAGCACAGGCAGGAACGTTTGACAACCGTCAGCACGGTGCTTGAGTTCTTTCTCAATCCCGGTTCGCAATTGGGCGTAGATACCGAAACCCGGTCGCGGCTGCCGCATTTTAGTAGATATATGGGTGCAATTAAACATGGGAAAGTAAATTCGTAAGACGCGGCCGAAACGGCTTGGCAAGGAAGGCGCGGCTCGTTGTGACTGTTGCCTGGGAAAACGTAAAAAGTACTGCCGTAGAGTCGAACGGAGTTCACAGCTGGGGATATTAAAAACAGGCTGCGTACGGAGTATTGCCCAGTACGTATGGCGTACTTTCCTGAAAACATTCCAGCGGTTCGGTGTGGCGTTTTAAACTGCCTGCCAGCTTCCTCCCGTTTGGGCCACAGGCCGCAGACGCGATTTCGATGAAAGAAAATTGCCAATCAGCGGGCAGGGTCCAAAATGGCCGGCGTTAGCGCACCTGCAACGGGGGTTGGCAAGCAGAAAATATACTCCGAACCTTGTCTACGCTCGGTGCGTTTGCACATTTGTTTTTCTCGGAATGTTCTGTCTCTTCATATACTCTTATTTCGTTCCTTCTTTATCCGTAGAAAAGTGACATAATAGCTCCTATAGGATTGACCGTGAGATGCCGAAAGGGGCCTGTTATCACCGTAAACATGTGGCGGAAGGAGCAACCGAGCCACGCGGGAGAGAAAAAGAAACAAAGCGCAAAGAAAGCGTGGCCTGGCCTCAGCACTAATCCACCCGCCCAATGTATCCTAATTGGGAAGCCGTTCAATCAAAAAAAAAGGTTCGCGCGAGTGCCATGAAGTGCTCAAAAGAAGAAACGAAACAAGAAAAATGTAGACGAATAATGGCCTTCATTTTGCTGTGTACCAATGCCGAAAGACCAGTCGCAACTTGCACCGGTGGAAGGCGCCAACCAGGTAGCCACTGCCATCTTACCGCCACCCAGCTAAAACCTCCCTCGTTCTTGCCACGTTGGCCGATGTCCGCACAGTTCAGCTGCGTAGCCTCGTGGCGGAAAGAGCGCCTAGGCGGCTCTTACGTCACAGCCCACAGGCGAGCCTGATCGAAGTCTGGCTCAAGCCAGGCTGTCCTCAGTGTTACTGAACGCATTGAAACTGCGGCTTCAGTACGGTCATTTTCGTATACACCTGAGAACGAGGAAAAAGAACGAAGGCCAGTTTTCCATTGATTGTCAACTGAAAGTGTTGGCATTGACACACCACGACTGTCGGCGGCGAATAGCGATTCACCTCTTCCTATCGCAAGGCTCCGACAATATCCAAACCTCTGTCAGCCTCACTGTACACCACGACAACGAGGCTACGGAGTACAGGCTCGCCAATCGACCTGGTCAACATGCATCTGGCTGCGTGGACGCCATGGTGCGTGGCCCTTGCGGCCCTAGCTGCATTGCCGTCGTCGACGGCCGCTGCCTCGTCCAAGAACAGCAAGAATGCCATCCTCCTGTCCAAAGTGAGTACCACCTCTCCACCAATCGATCGAGATGTATGTTTATCTATGTGGTACGACCATGGACCGTGCCCTGACACAGACACAGGTCCAATCGTTGACGCTGCGCGCCGGGAAAATGACCACCCACCGCCGCGTCGCCGCCGTGCCGCAGCTCAGCTGCACGGCCAACCCCCAGCGCCTCTGCGACCTCTTCACGGTCGATACCATGCGCTGCACCAACCAGGGTAGTGGTTACGATGCCGAGGACATCCAGTGGTCCTGCACGGCGTCGCTGCCGCCTGAGTTCAAGCTGGGCAGCACCGACGTCGTCTGCGAAGGCTACAGCTCGGGCCACGATCCGTACGTCTTAAAGGGCAGCTGCGCCGTCGAGTATCGCCTGGTGCTGACGGACTTTGGCGAGCAACAGTACCCGGACCTGGCGGGCGAGGCGCGCAAGACCAGCTGGGGCGCCGACAAAACGTTCAACTGGGTGTTTTGGTGCATCTTTGTGGCCATTGCGTTGTGGATCCTCTGGGCCATGTTCATGGGCGAACGCGCCCGGGATCGAGGAGATAGGAACAACCGACCGGGTGGTGGATTCTGGGGCGGCGGCGGTGGCGGAGGAGGTGGAGACGGGCCTGGCTTCGGCCCGGACAACGATCCACCGCCTCCGTATCCAGGAACAAAACAGTGGGACGGAGGCCAACAGCAGCAACAGGGCTGGCGGCCAGGTTTCTGGACAGGTGCGGCGACCGGTGCGACAGCGGCCTACTTGGCCAGCACCAGGAACAACCGCAACAATAGGGACAACAGCAGTGGCTACTACGGTGACCAGTACGGCGGTGGGAGACGAGCTGGGAGTACTTGGGGTGGAAGCGGAGGTGCCGGGCCATCGTCGTCGTCCTCATCGGTATCGTCGGCTCGACAGCCAAGTACGGGCTTCGGAGGGACGCAGCGTCGGTGAAACAGGCCGAGGAAAGCAACGGAACTCCGGGTCACAAAAGGCAGAGAATCGCCTGTTAGTCGTACAGCAATCGCCGTTGTATTTTGTATTGTGTTTGGGATCGCCCCGTTTCGCCCTAATTTGCTATAAAAGTACATACAAGGAATGATTCAAAAGATCCAAGACAAAGAAGACGGTAAGGGGGGAATAAGTCCCATACCGTGAACCAGACCAATTCAGCCCCTAGACGCCTGCCAAAACATGCAACATCGGAAACATAGACAAGAGCGACTGCAGGGACCGGGAAATGAATACAAAAGCCACCGTCCTTCCGCCACACTTCCTATCGTGACAAGAGCCTATCGAAACTGGCATATATACGTTTGTCCAAGACAGAACCGTGAAACGAGTGGTAGAGAGAGGGGGCAAAGAAGGTGAAAAAAAGGGTACTCGGTCGAAATGGAAGAAGAGTAAAAAGTGTACAGTGAAATGAATACAAGGTTGTAATAATCATAGTAGTAGAAACAGTGGCAGTCGGGGGAGCATTTGCTGTGCGCACGGGTCCCTCGTAAGCATCTCCTTCCGGGTGAAGGCCCATGACCCAAACACCAGGTTTCCAATTGTGCTCGTTGCATCTGTCGCAACGATCCTATGTTTGTACCCGTCGCAAACGACGCCCCAGGGAACATTGGCGATTGGCGAAGCCGTATGACACCCGATGGCTTGTGAATAACACAAAGTGGCGCGTAATTCGTCGGTTGTGTTCACATCCAAAGGCCCGTAGAAGACTCGGGACCTCGATTGGAAGACACTGCCTAAAGCTCCCTGGGCCCATCCACACTGGAAGGGTATGGGTGCGTGAGTTTGGCGCGTGAACAATAGGATTTCGAGCTGGAGAAATAACAGCCGCAGCGACATCTGTATTACAGTGCGCTGAAACACTGCAAGGCGCAGGACACGAGGGCGGCGTGAAGAGCGAGTCATTGCCTGCGCAGGGAAGTGCGGTGCATGAGGCTCACATGGCGCAGCGTTTGGGGATCTCGAGATTGATCAGATCGTTTTTTGCCAACGACGCCATTTTCCAGTTGGTTGGCATTGCAGCTCGGGTCGGTTCCGTTCGAGTAGTCGACGTCATCCGGGTCGTCGCTTTGGTCGGCTGTGTTTTTGTCTGGTCGATTTATCTTTGATTCTGTGGACGGCATCTCCGCAAGGTCCTAAAAGTGAGCCGACATAACGTCCATCTTGTCAAAGGCCTTGTTGCACGACGGGCATTTGCGCATCCGGTTGCTCAACCGCGCATCGATGCATGTCTGGCAAAAGACGTGCCCGCAGGTCTTGATGATGGCGTTCTTGAAGTTGTGACGGCAGACCGAGCACAATGCGAATTTCTAAGCTGTTAGTGACAAGATCTATACAAACGTCTGAAAAAAGAGGAAAAAACAGACGACTTACTCTGAGCATTTCCTCCTCTTCAGAAGAGTTGGCAAGGCACTTGGACTTCCAACTGTCCCGGTCCTTCTGCACATGTGTTAGGCGAACCTTGATCTTCTCGTGCTCAGTCTCCTGGTTGGCTCCTTGCTCGCGCATCGCTGCATTCGCCGCATCCTTCTGCTTGACCAGATTCGCCAGCTCGGCAATCTGAGCCTTGCTAGACTCCAACCGCCGCGCCACATCGGCATTTGTCGCCTTAAGCTGCCGGCTCTCCTCGGCAATGGTCGTGTTGGCCTGCCGGAAATCAGCCAGCTGCTTTTCAAAGTTGCTGAGCACCGAACGGCTCTGTGCCTCGGCGTCCTTGAGAGATGCAATAATCTCGGAGCTCTTGCTGTTTTGGTGGCGGAGTGCGCGGATCTCAGCAATGCGGATGTCCATGTCCTTGCGCGCAGCAAAGTACTTTTGATCGGCCTTGGCCTTTTCGAGCGTTAACATGGTCACGCGCTCCTCCAACGCAGTAAAGTCCATAACTTTCTTCTGCGCAAGACCGATCGCCTTCTTATACGCCTTTTCCACAGACGGCATCTCGTTCTGGATCAAGATGAAATCCTTTTCCAGTTTGGCAAAGCGTTCGCGCAGCGCTTCAGGGGAGAGCGCCTCGAGCTCGGCGCTAGGTGTCGTCGTATCGGCGCCCTCGGTTGGGCGCAGCCGTCCCAGTTCGCTCTCGAGTGCTGCTATCCGGTCCTCCTTGGCGGCCACCAGCTCGTTTAGGTGCTCAAACGCGGTCCGTTCCTGGTCCTGGCAGGCCTTGCGGATCTGCACATCAGCGACCAGCTCGTCGCGAGCCGACCGGATCCGCGTAAGATCCTGGTCCTTCGCTTGGATCTGGTCCTCCAGGTCATTAGCCACGCTCTGGGCCTCGGCATCGAGCTTGGTGCGGAAGGCTGTCCGATCAGTCTGCAGCTTCTCAATCTCCTCGCGCAGCTGCTTGTTCGCTGATTCGAGGTGATTCGTCCGCCTTATCATGTCTTCGTTTTGACTCCGAACTTGCTTGAAGAGGTCCGTCCGGGCATAGTCTTCCTCGGTGGCGGCCTCCTTCTTCGAGCGGAACGTGGTGTTCTCGTCCTGCAAGGTCTTCATCTCGCCGAGGATTTTGTCCAGCTGCTCCTTTTGCTTGTTGATGACTGCGAGGGATTCGTCGTATTTTCCTTGCAGAGCGTCCAGGCTGGCTGAATTTGCTGCGGGTTGGTCGGCGTTTCCATTTTCGGCAGGTGCTGGTCGCGCCGTGACGTGCGCCAGAGCCTTCTCTTCCATCTTTTGCACCTGTGCACTTCGCATTCGATCTATCCGCTTCTCTGCCTTAATATATCGCAGCGTCGCGGTATCAAGCTGTTGTGATATATCGTCCTTGTCTGTCTCCAACCGCTCCAGCTTCAGCGCGTAGTCTTTTTGTGCAGCCAGCAGATGCTTGATTTGCGACTCCATTTGGACAACTTCGGGCTTAATGGCCTCACGGAAACCTGACAATCGGTTAAGTAAGGTCTCAAGTCGTGTCTTGACCAGCTTCGTCTTCTCGCCAATATGTTTTTGAAAGTCGCGGCTGTCCTTAAAGCTCAGCGCAGATGGATATGGAAATTCTAGGACAGATATGTTAGCGACAGTGCGTAAAGAGAGAAAGTAACGAAGACAAGGTTTCGGTCTATGAGTAGTTCATAGCAATCGACCAAGGACAGATTCTCACGCGAGTGTCGTAATTATTGGCTTACCTTTCGAGTTTGGGTGTGTGGAAACAGTGCCTTCGCAAAGGAGTTCGATCTCTTGTAATAACTAAAGGGCGAGTCAGGAATGTGTCCATGGAAGTCGTAAAATAGCATTGATGAGCCGCCTGTGTTTGTGGTAGTTTAGTGATGGTTTACCTGAAGCACCCATGCGTCGGCAATGCGGATATGGTCGTCATGGTACGTCGAGCGCTTTTGTATCTCTTCGATCCTTGCTTCCAACGTGGCGTTTTCTCTCTTGTATTCGTTCATTTGGCGGATGATGGCATCTTTTTGGAAGTCCTACAGTAGAGCAGTACGTCAGCAGCCGTCCAGCAATTCATCGGGGAGGTTCGAGGGAGTGTGCTTGTGTGAAGGGGTGCGAGTCCGCAGCGCATGCTCATGGCATCGATGGCATGAAGGAAATAGACGATGGTTGGATGAGCATGACGACGACAAGCCGACATTGACAGATCGAGGAGCGCTTCTTCAAAGCGAGGGGAAAGCGACCAAAGCAGACGAGCCAAGGCTGTTGAGGCATCTAGGGAGGACCGTTCTGTTACGGAAAGAAGATGCGACTCGTCGCGTGGTGTCGTGTGACAAGAAAAAAGACTTACCTCGAGCCATGCTTCATCGCGGTACTCGCCATTGGGGTCCTCCTTGACCTTGCTGGCGCCGCCATTCACAGCCTGCCGCTTGCTGGGGGGCGCATATTCGTCGGTGTCGGCGATGGCCGGCCTCTTCCTGTCCTCCATCTTGGCGACGGCGGACGGATGAGTCGGCACGGCGGAGGGAGCAGTGGCAATCGGCATGAGAAGAAAGATGGGGTGGAATGGGGCGCGATAAAAAAGGGTCAGGCGGGCGACAAGACGCCGGCCAAGGGGCCAAGTGAGAGGGGAAATAGAAAGCGGGCTGGCAGGAGACAAAGTTGCGATGCTGAATGACGATGAAAAGGGGCCTTAGTGCGGCGTTGGGGAGGGCGACAAGTGTTTGCAGCAAGACGAGGTGAACTTAGAAGAGGTAGCGGATCTCCAAATGCAAGATACTCGATGACCAGCGTGAATGCGGGAAAAGAAAAGGTACACGAGAAAATATGGAGTCCTGGCGCATTCAACCAGGGGGCGACGTGGGCACACTCATAGGCAAGGCGAGTGAGTATGCGAAATGAGCGTGGTAAAAGCGTACAGGAGGTGAGGTTGTTGAGGCAAAAGCCAACGAAGAATGTACGTTGGCGATGGGGGGAAGGAGACTGAAATTTTGGCGAATTCAAGACAAGCCACAGGGAAGGAAGGAGCAAAAATCAAAAAGACCAGAGGCAAAAACCAGAGGGATCAGAGAGGAACAGGGAGAACGGCAAAAGTGGGTCGCGAGCCGGGATTGGTTGGAAATTGCACTAATCCGGAAAGGGCGAACGCGATTCTGGGGCGAGACAGGCAAGTGCGTCTTATCGGGGGTGGGGCCAGTGATTCTGCAAGGCAGGAGCGTGCTCTAGGGGGTACAGGGGCTTGCAGGACATCGAGTCCACGGCATCGAAGTCAGGATGCTAGAAAAGAACAAAGCTGAAAGCAAATGCTGCGGCTGTGGACGGTCAGAGACAGGCCGAGCCGATGCAGTGCTGCGGCGTATCAAGAAGTGGTCATCGCTTCTGCACTCTGCCAGACTGACCGACCAACACGGTCACGTGTACGCCCGCTTTAGTGCATAAGCGAAAGGCATAGAGTTTGAGTGTGACGAACAGAGACAGGCCAAAAGCCAGGCCTCGTAGAAAGCAATTGGCCAAGCAGGAGGACCGACGCAGCGCAACAGATCGTGTCGCATCAACAAGACGGACAGAAGCAGAGTCAATCGCCCAAGCAAACGATCGGACGTGCCCAGTCTCCACATTAATGCTTTGTATCACAACGCCTTAGCCTCTAGGAGCCTTGCAGCGGTCACCGCCTTCTGTATTTTCCCGGCAAAAAGAAACTTGCTGGCAAGAGCACCCCGGCAAAACCGTTCTTTCCAACGCCCCGCCAGACCGCGCTGGACACAAACACGAAAGTGACAAAACAAAGTCGCAAACGAAACGACAGTCAGAGGCTCTTCATTGCATGCCCTCGCGATCTCCGCCACCCTACGCTCACCCGGGCCCGGTGACACACCTTCTGGTCGGTCACGATGAGTTCCATGTTCAAGAAAAAAGGTGGCTTGGCCTTCAAGCCGAAAGCACCGGTGCGGCGTCCTGGTGCCGGTGCGGCCGCCTCGGCGCTGTCTGCTTCAACAACTGCTCAGGTCGCTGCTCGGCCCTCCAAGACCCCGGCGCCGTCACGGGACTCTGCTTCTGCCCCGGCGGCGGCGTCGGCCCCAGACAAAGCACAGGAAGCGACACGGGCTCCTACACCATCGCCATCCGCTCCCACAGAAACAGGAGCAGCCGCGTCGTGGAAAGACGCGCGACCAGCAGCACCATCTGCCGTATCAACACGAACAAGACGTCAGTCGACCCATGCCTCGGGTACGACAGCACGGGCAGCAGCAGCCCGTGCAGTGGTACAAGAAACTGCGGCGGCCCTACCCCCAACACCTCCATCCGCGCAAGCAACAACAGCACGAGAAACAAGAAGGACGACGGTGGCAGAACCCGCTCAAGATGAGACACAACCACAAGAGGACGAGGAATCAGAAAGGGGCCGAATAACAATTAGCAACTTGTTGCAGGCCGGTGAGACGGCCGCTGCGACACCAACCACAGCAAGCGAGCCCATGACCGATATTGCAGCAACCGCCACACGGACGCGCAGCGTAGCCTCAGCCCAGGGCCAGACGGGTCCGCATAAGGAGGCAAGCATTGCAGACTCCAGTGCCACGTCAGCTACCGATGCCCCAATAACAGCACCACGGAGAGGCCGGCCAAGAGCAGCCGACAAGGTGGCAGCAACAACGGCCGACCCGAGCGCCGCTTTGGCACAAGACGAACCTTCCTCGGCCGTAGAACCGCCATCGAAGAAGCGAAAATACACGAGAAGAAAGCCGGTTGGGGACACCGCGGCCGGAGCTGTCGGCCAAGAGAGTGAAGCAGCGCCTCGACCGCGGGCTACTGCTGCGAGCAAGAAACGTGCGGCTCCGGCAGCTGCGGCTCCCGCTGCCGATGGCGAAGTTATCGCATCTGTAGAAACACCGGCAGAAGGCACCCCAGAGGCAACAATAGCCACTGCGGCGCCGAAACGCGTCCGCAGAGAGCGGTCACTAACCCCTGAGGATGCCGAAACACGCACAGTCGACCACCGAGAGCTCAAGATGGAGGACCTTACCAAGGATCTGCGGATCGGCAAGAAATTTAGCCGGCACGACGAGCTTGTGGACCGCCTGCGCGAAAAACGGCGGCTGTACCGTCGGGAACGGCTACTGAGCAAGAAAAATCAGGCCCAAGATGGCGGTCCGCTATCAACAAACAACAGCAGCCGCGAAGGCTCGATTCTCGGCGACGAGGCGAGCGGAAGCAACACGGCGGCCGCCGTCATCGCAGGTGCCCCGAATGGTAGCGAGGCCGCCGCCGCTGCAGCTTCAGTGCTGGCGGCTGCAACGAAGTCTCTTGCCAACTCCAAGCTGAAGGCATCGCAAACCGTCACAGGTCCGCAGTTTGAGATTATTGACGGTGCAATCGTCGTCAATCAAGCGTCGCTGGTGCATGATCGCCACGCCGCCGCTGCCGCCGAGGCAGGCGAGCTTGAAGAGGTGGAAGAGAACGATTTTACACGCCAGACAACGTCCAACACGTACCTCAAGCCCGGCAAGCTGCGTGGGCCCAATGCGTGGACCGAGGCCGAGACGGAACTATTTTACCGTGCGCTTAGCATGTTTGGCACCAGTTTTGACCTGATCTGCAAGTGGTTCCCGGGCAAGTCGCGCCGCCACATCAAGATGAAGTTCAACCGCGAGGACAAGTTGCACCCACAGCGCATCACGGAGGCGCTGGTAGGCCAAAACAAAGTCGCCATTGACGTCGACGAGTACATGGCGCGGACAGGCGTGACGCTGCACGCGACGGAAACAATTGACGCCGAGTATGCGCTGCGCCAGGCCGAGCACGATGCAGAGCAACAGCGCATTATCGACGAGCAGGCCGAGGCGCTGCGCAAGAAACGAGAGGCACTCTTTGGCCCGCGCCATGGCGGCACGGCTGGCAGCAATGGTGCCAACAGCGGTGGAAACAACGGCGCGGACTCTAGAATAACCCATGCCAGTGGCGGTACTGGAGGTGGCGCCGGTGGGGATGAATACGATATTGATGCGACGGATATGATTGTCGGCGGCAAGGGCCGCCGGAACGGAAAGGCAGGCCGTGGCCGCAACAAGGCACCGCGGCAACCCGCAGCCGGAGGTTTTGGCATATAAGGCAATAGACTTACTTGCGCATGACCAGAAGACGGCCTTCACAAAGCACAACCTGCAGCGTTGTCGGTCATTTGTACTTTTAGTGTTTTGTATTACGTGTTATCAGATAAACACCAGAGGCGGCAATGCTCTGCTTGTTACAGATTTTTGCAGTTCGATACCCGCATCCTAGTTTATTTTCTTGTTTTCATCCTTTTTCGCGCAGACTCAGAGGTATGCAGGTAGACAGTATGCAAGCCTATGCCTGGTGCGTATTTGTAGCCTTTTCAAGATCGAATTCAACTCATGAAGCCATCATTCACCCAAGTTACAGGAGAAACACATGTGGACCGTGAGGGTGACATATAAGAAAGAGGGAAGCGAACGCGTCATGATAGGGCTCGGGGATATAATTATAAAATGTCCAGAGCGGCCCGGACGTAACACCAAGGAAAGTGCAAAAGACATATCCATGGCTCCCTCCCATGATCCTCCTTCTTACCGGCCCTCATTGGTGCCAAGGAAAACGAAAGGCGAAGCAAACAACAGGCCCATCCAATATGGGACCAGCTTTCCTCTGTCCTCTCAACCGTTTTGTGCTCGAGGTGCACGTCGTGTATTCTCTTGTTTCAATTTTTTTTCTCGTTTTGGGGGTTGCTCATGCTGGCCTGACTGATGGTTTCTCTCAATTCCTAATCCGAGCATGTGTTTATAGTTCCATGTTCGATCGTCCAAATTGTTTCACCACCTCCGATTGCCACTCTCTACTGGGTATTTCGACCGACTGCCATTATTCTTTTGTACTTTTCTGTCATCCGACAGCGGGACACAGGTGTGCCGCATCGACTTTCGTTTACTGGTTGGCTGTCGGCTCGTCGTCATCGGGTTGGTCGAACAAAAAGTTGGCAGCCAGCTCCTCGTTCTTATCGCAAGCAAAGTAGGCCTGAATGGCCTGATCCCGGTCAAAACCAAGGCGGCAAAGCTGGATATGACCAAACGTCAGTATAAGGGGGCATCATGAGAGAAGAAAAGGGAAGCCAAAGGAAACATACGCGCTCGATAGCATCACGCTCCTCCTCGGTAACGGCAATAGCTTGGGCGCCAGGCGGCAGCGGTGCGTCGTCGTCGTCGCCGTCTTCGCTCAGCAAGCTCAAAAACTGGTCCGGGTTTTGCGCGATAAGCTGGGCCAGTTGAGGGTTGCCAGCGCCGAGCTGCTGCAAGATGGGCTCAAGCATTTGCGGCTGCTGCTGGACAACCTGACGGAGCTGCTGGAACTGGGCATTGTGGCGGAGGAAGTCGAGGTTACCAAGTCCCTGACCCGCACCTGCGCCACCTGCTGCAGCGGCAGCCGCTGCTGCGGTTGCCGCACTCGTGCCGCGACCGGCACCAGCGGCACCACCGGCACCGCCACGACCTTGCTGGGCGGCCAGATCGAACAGGTTCACACCGTCCTCGTCCTCGTCGCCGCCTTCAGCAACCGCGGCGGCAATTGCAGCAGCAGTAGCTTCATCCGTCGAGGCGTCGCCAGCGGGGGTAGCAGCAGCAGCAGGTGCTGCTTGTTGTGCCGCCGGCTCCTGTTGGGCCTGTTGTTGTTGTTGTTGCAGGTTGTCCGGAATACCCTACAGTACGTCAGTACATGTGCTTGAAGCTTCGTGCCACAAGACGCCAAAAGGGCAGTACTCACAGTCAGCAGGTATTCAACAGCGCGGTCCGGGTTGTTGTACGCAGCGCGCATGGCAGCGTTGATCTGGCTGCGCTCAAAGCCCATGGCTTCCATGTTGGCAATGGCCTCCTGCAGAGCCGGGCCAACGGAGAAGGAGTTGGGGTCCGTGTAGTTAGCATCGTTGGCGCGGGCGGCCGGGGTGGGCGTCGCAGCAGGCGCGCCGGATGACGCAGCAGCTGCGGCGACAGGTGCAGCAGGTGTAGCGGCGGGACCGGCGCTGCGGGCTGGCGTGGCGGGGGCCGGTGCAGAGGCGCTCGAGGCAGCGGCTGTTGATGACTGGGCGGCAGAGGCGGCGGCAGGCGGCGCCTTGGGCTTGTTCACAACACAGACGACAAAGCCCTTCTCTTCGATCTTGTACGACTCGACGGTTTCCTCATCCTTTAAGATTTTGCCTAGATGCGGAGGGAAAAGGGCACGAAAGGTTAGTCTTTTAGTCGCATTGAGGCCATGTAGAGTGTCGAAGTTATGGGAGGAACATAAGAGACAAGTATTGGAGGCGTACCAGAGTAGATGAGCTTTTGCGTTTTTGGTTCCCAACCGCGCTCGTCGGAAATCTTTTGCTTGACGGCGGCAATCTACAGCAGCAACCAATAAGTTAGACGGGAGGAACATGGTAACAACTTCGGTTGCAAGATAGCTTTTCCGTCGCTGAGCAACATGCGGCGATGCCTGGCAGTGCGCCGGTGCGGGAACGGAATCTGCTTTCTGGTCATGAGTGACGTGGGGAGGCGTCGGCGGGGAGCGCAGGGAGCAGAGGAAGCCTTGGCTCGGCGCCGTGGAAGAGCAAAAACGCACCGTCTCTGATGGATCGACCTCGATGACAAACTTCTGCTGCTTGAGATCCTGTTGGGAGGGAGGGAGAGAGGAAAATCAGTACAAGCTCAAAGTGCAGACAGAGTGCAAGACGAGTGCGGCGGTACCTTGAATGTGACTTTCATGGTGGGCAACTGGGAGAGGGCGGGACGGGGAAAGGTGGGTGAGGGGTGTTGATAGCTGTGAGGCAAAAAAGCCGACGAGGTTGCGAGAAAATCGAGCGATCGTGATAAAAGCGAGAAAGATGGATGAGCGAGACCAAAGGGAAGTTGATGGAAGAAAGGAGGGAAGGAGGGAACCGGCAGAAGATGAAAAAGCAGTCGTGGTCGTTGTTGCCAGACTAGAGAAGTGACTTGTCAGAGCCGGGATTAGGAAAACGAGTTTGTGAAGAGGTAAGGAAGGAAGGGGCGCCCTATGACGGGACAGGCAGAAAAGGCAAGTGGAGAGGCTGCGGGCAAGCGACCAGAAATAGGCAGGCGCAACTCTACGGAGAAGAGGCAATACTGATGGAGGGGGAAGGAGTTGGAGGAAGGAAGGCGGCCAGCGCAGCTCCCGGGAAGCCTGGTGCAGTGGGCTGGGGCCGACGACTGCCCTACCTGCCGCCTTATTTGCTGGCCACTGGTCCTGGAGGCGAAAGCGTTTTTTTTTTCCCAATGGCGTAACAGATTAGCTGCCTATTGCTGCTCTGGCGCACTTTGCACAACGAAACCTACCCGCAGCCTAACCATGTTTGCAGAATATGTAGCGAAAAGAGCGAGAGCGCAAAGGCTGAATTACCCCACTTTGAGGAGATACAACACGTCACTGCGTAATTACATACAGCTTTTCTCAAAGTACCATTCCTTTGGTCGCTTATCGCCGCTCCCTCCAACGGCGAGTAGTGTTGATAGTCACCTTCGCGCCGACATACTTTGCACGACATATTGATATTTGCATTGGTTTTCAATGTTACTGCAAACAAGGTCGCGTCGTATGGACAGGGCCAGAAAGAGGAGACGATATAAAAGAAAGTGGTATCTCCAATCAAAACAGTCATCCAATCAGCGGAATCATTCCCAAACAGACGAAAAAGCATCCCCGAGTCTTTGAACCCAGCCTTGGACCCCAAAAGGTATACAGGATAAAAAACAAAATAAAATAAAATAAAAAACTCCCCAGCTCCTCGTAAAATACATCCAGTCATAATTGGCCGGAACGTGTCTACAAACGAATGCGTTACAAGACGACCTGCAGCCGGAAACAGAAAAGGAAAAGAAATAGGCAAATGACAAAGAAAACTTAAGTCCTTGAAGGTAGGTCAAATGACAGTCGTGAAAAAGTCGTGTGAAGGTCGTGTTTCGTTTCCGTGTTGTTCGTCGCAAGTGTATCTATCAGGGCGCGCCATCTTGGACTCGCACCTTGCGGCTTTGGTAACCCGACAAGCTTGTGCGGGCACCAGCACTAAGAATCCACTCCGGGATAGGCGGCGTCATCTTGCGCTCAGTGTTTGTGTCGGCACGAGACCGACGGTCCGCGTCATCCTCCTCGTCGTTGTGGCCGGCGCCCACGCCCACGCTGTCACCGTCCTCCTCCCGCAGCTCATGACCGTTGCCGATACCAGTGTGCGGCCGCTCAGAAAGCGCCACGCCGCGTCGCGGGCCAAAGTCGTCGAAGCTGCCCTGGCGGCTGAGAGGACTAGAGACGGCCGGGAGACTGCCGCTGCGCATGCGGTTCAACGTCCGCAGACTCTGTGCGTCGGTAACAGTCATCTGGCTGGCATTGGGCGGCGCGGCAGTCACAACAGTTCCGGCAGACACTGCTGGCGGAGGCGTCGGCGAGTCGGAACGGAAGAGGGGGTGGATGTGGGCCTCTCCAGGTGGCGGCGGCGGTGACTGAGAATGAGATTGGGACCGCAGGCGCGCTCCGCTGGCTGAGTGCATGGACGATGCAGACGGGCTGTAGCTGCGACTCCGGCGCTGACGGGACCGTGGCGGCTCAAGGTCCAAAGGTGTTCCAGGGCTCGGGCTGCGGCTAGTTGTGGGGCTGGCAGGTATGGTCTCCAAGAAACGGCCGGCAATGGCCGCTGGTAACGTAGAGCTCTCGAGCACAGTCAGGCGGTTCTGCGGGTCCACCGCGGACGTGTCCCAAGAATCAAAGTCCTCAATGCTCGGGCGCACGTCACGCTCGCGAGATGCGCATGTGCTTGCAGGGGAAGCAGAGGAGCCGGCCAGAGAAATAGGTCGCCATGCTGACGAGCGTTGACTGCTGGTACCACTGATGCTGGTGTCGCTGTGGGCCACCAGGCCGCTGCTGACGCTGTTCGGTGAAACCAAGCGGGTCTTAGATGTAATGGGGCGGATGACCTGTGAAAAGGACGTCCGAATGGAGGCCATGGTATCTGAGCGGCCGACACTAGATCCGGGCGGCGTGCGGAGATCAGCCTCAACGTCTCTGGTCCTTCGACCGCGTGAGAGGATGGCCGCAGCCTTTGTCTCCTTTCGACCACTGGAAGGGCTGTTGGTCTGGCAATAGGGTACAGACTTGACCCGTGTTGATGAGGTGGATCGGGTGCTGGCGTTGATGTTATTATTGCTGCCGCTGCTGTTGGACCGACTGCTGATGCCACTGACACCTCCGTTGGTGCGGCCCGTCTCGAGTGAAGCTGACCGAACCATACGGCCGTTGATAGCAGCTGAGCGAGCCACGGTCAGCGTAAAGATGAGGAAAAGGAGCTGGGCAGTAAACCCGATGCCCAGTGTAATAGCAGCACCTGTGAGGAAGGGAACAACGCTGGAACCGAAAATCGCCTCCTTCTGTTCGTGCTGGGCAGACTTGTGAAGGTTAGCCAGAGCAGCTGCGGAGACAGTCGCGCCAACTGTGCAAAAGAAGATGCTCAAGCCAAACCAAACGCCTTGCTTTGTTGATGGTGACAGAATGGTTTGTTTTTCTGATGTTGAGATAGTTGCTGTGCTCTGTTTGTTCCGCAAGTTTCGCAGGTGGACGAAGATATGTGCAGAAACAATGACAAAAATAGCACCTTCAAGCGCAGCCGAGACGATTGCTAGTGATCTTGTGGATGATGACGAAGAGCTTGTCAGCTCGTGTGCAAGTATGCCATGTACGGCCACAAGAGCCGTCGTGGTGGCTACGGCTAATGCACCGAGCACAGTCGGAATACTTGACGGCACAGCCATTTTTGTGATGCGGGTGGGAGAGTGTGTGAGGAGAGTGATGGTCGTGACAAGGATGCCAATTGGATACCAGGGCGTTTAAGAGCTCCCAGGTTCCGGTGGCCAGGCCGTCGAGGTCTCCAGTAGCTAGATGTGCAAAAAATCCCGTTTTTGAAATAAATAACCAAAAATAAATAACCAAAAATAAATAAAACCAAAAATGTGTGAAAAAAACGAGGCTGGGGGGTAGGAGCGGGCCGATGGACCTAAAGAGACTTCGCGAGCGAGATCCAGGATCCAAAAACAGAAAACAGGGCACGTCAGGAGAGAAGCAGGATGGGCCAGGATGAGCAGGATGAGCCAGGCCGTGTCCGGCGTCTGTTATACAGCACCCGCTCTGCTTCGCCTCTTTCCTCAGCACCAGGCTGTCTAAGGAAAATTTCGTCCAGGCAGGCCAATGCGGCGGGTCTCGTTGAGTAGATGATGCTCTGAGAGACGACAGTACCGTGGGTATTTTCTTGTTTTGTTTGTCCGTTCGCAGGAAACTGAAGCGCAGGCCGTTTCCTAGAGGGCGGGTGGAGGCAAGCGATGGCCTGCTACTCAATCTGCGTGAGACGCAGAGACGGCTTCGCCAGGCCGTGTTCGTCGAGGAGGCAGTGTGTGCGTGCGAGAGAGGCGTGAGGTGCCGCTTTGGGCGGCAGGACGTCAGAAGCAGTAAAGAAGCCGCAGAGAAGGAAAAGAAAAAGGCCGATTCACCCGCCCGGTTCCCTCTCTAGTTTGCTTCCGTTTCGTTTAATATCGAGAGGTTGCGGAAACCTGGGAAGCAGTTGAGTGGAGAGGGGAGGGGATGTTGACGGCAAACAAATGTCGATAATTGAAAGGGAAGGATATAACAACAACAAAAAAAAGAGCAAAGAAAAACAAAATGACTGACAAAAGAATGACTAAAAGCGTCAGAAAGTCAATAAACCAGAAAGCTCTCGCTAAATGGAGGGCAAAAATTGGAAATAGAAAAACTATGAAAAAAGATGCGGAAAATTCCAGAGAAGAGTGCCTAGCCCACTGAAAGTCATCAAAGGGCGGCCACTCTACGGAGTAATAGAGGAACGTAGGGGAAAGGGCTGGGCTTCGGCTGGCCCTTTTTACTTGGCCCTATGGCTATGTGTAGGGAGCACGAGGTGTAAATGAGGAGGGGAAAGCCAGAGCAAAGAAAAGAATGGAATGTTGGGAGCACGTTTTGTGGTGCGCTATTGTTGTGATCAGTCGAAAAGAGAGGCGACTTGCACAAGAGAGGGCGACATCCGGCTGGCCATGTATGTAAGTGGCGACTCGACTCTACCGGGTGTGCCCGCAACGTTGGAGTGATGCCAAAACAGAGAAGAGAACGAGAAAAACAAGAGGATCACAGGTTGGATGTGAAAGGGCGTGAAAAACCACAAGACGGGGAAGAGCAAAGGGAAGGGGGAAAAAAAAAGTCGGAAGAAGGAGCATGCTAAGCTGAGCGGAAGGAGCGAGGCACCGAGTAGAAGAAGAAAACGACGGCCAGGAAGGAGGGAAACGGACGTTATTACAAGTCTTATGCGGGCACGCAGAATTCGACCAAAAGGCAGGAAGTAGTGACCAGGACTGGGGTGTTCTTGCCTTTCCTGGTTGTGACCGTCTAAGTTAACGACGTAATGCCATTGGCTGAGAACGCGTCGTTTCCTCATTTTGTTCCTTTTTATTTGGTGCTCCTTCACGAAGTCCATGCGACGGCTGGGTATTTCGACCAGGGTCGTAGTAGCGTGAGAGCAGGAGCGGGCGGTATCCGACCCTGCCTCTTTGCCAAAGTTTGAAGCGGAGTACTCAGAGATCCATGACCCACCACTGATCTGTCGGGCACCCACAGCGCAACTGTCCCCCAGCCCTTCCAGCCCACCAGCGCCTTTCGTACTTTCCCAGTATCCCCGGAAGATGTGCCCAGTGTGTGTTTCCCTGTCTCGCACTGGAATGCAAGTCTTTGCTTTGTTTGTACATTCTGGCTTTGTTTTTTCTTTTCCTCTTTGGTCTTCACATGGCGATTTCTCTCCCATACCAGGTGTCTTATTCTCTCCCCTTCTCGTTTGCTTGTTAACTCTAGGTGACATCTTGTGACGCAATAGACGTGTGGTGTCGACAAGAGCTCTCCCAAAGAGGATAAACGTCAACAAAGCTGTTCTATATTTTGGGTTCCTGTGTTTGTTGACTGTCGCATTGTTGACTTTCTCATCAGCCGCCCAGTCAGCCGCTCATGTCAGTTGTGTTGCAGGTGTCCATCCTGCTGAAACACACCGTGCCTCGATGCAGGCGAGCTGCAGAAGCAGAGCGGCAGAAATGCGCCGTGTCCAGGACAAGGGAAGGTGTAAGATCCGCTAGGATACGGCAAAACGATTCGATAACAACCTCACTTGGACACTACGAAATCATGGCCCTTCTGTTGCCGTCCTCTTGTCAGTCTCTCGGCCTCTTTTTGTTTCGTGCCTCTTCATTTGTTTCCGCCTTTCTTTCTTCAGTCTCTCGCTCGCGCTCTGACCAGCTCAGAAAGAGGAAAGGCCTGGCAATCTTGCTGACGTTGATTGGGAAAACAAAAGTCGATAATAAAGACGTGCGATCTCCGAAACGCCCGACCAGGGTCTGCTCTTTTTCTGGGTATGCTTGGATAGCTAGTTGCTGAACTGGTCCACTGCAACGTCGCGTCATCTGGCTTTCTGTTTCCTTTTTTTCAACCTGCTCCCACCTCTCTCGCCCCGAAAATGTCCTAGCAGCGCCGGCAGACAGCAAGCCAGGATCGAGATGCGAAATCATACAAGGGAAAGATGGGGCGGTCAGAGGCTCGAGAGACGTCTCATCTTATGCTGTCCTCCTGCCATCTCGACTTTCCTGTATCCACTACGAAAGAAGAAAAAAAAATCTCATTTTCGGTTCTTCTTTCCTAATTGACATACCATTCAGGTTCAGGCAAAGACACATACAAGAAAACGAACAAGCTGTGCTCGCCAGATGCTTTCAATAAAAACGCCAATGATAAGATGCTCCTGCCGCTTGTATCGTGCCTCGCGTGAAAGGCTGACAGAGGGAAGGTGCCACTGAGGAGAAACAAATTCCAAGGAAAGTGCAACGGGCAGCATCGTGTATCCAAGCGAAAAGCCACGGAAGTAGCGAAGATACAAGCTGTTGGTCTGAAGCAAAGTACATTTTAGGAAAGTAACACGACGTACGAGTAGAAGCTCTTGGGACGCGTCGATCAAGCTAAGCCTATTGTGGTAACAAGTCAATAATCTGCCGTCAACAAAAGGCGCGTTCTTGACGCGTTCTGCCCCGCCTCCCCACTGCCCAAAAAAAAGTTACCAGGTGGAAACCCACAATAGCTCCAACAAAGTCAACGACGGCAAAACACATAACCATCGCAACCGCACAATCTCTCGGCATCTCGACGTTCAGTCCTTGGGGACAATATGCTGTACCATGGGTTAGAAGCAAGTGGCGTTGACAGGGCGGGGCAGGTAATCCTCTCGCACTGTGCTTGTTTCGTTACACACGTTTTTGTCGAAGCGTGGTTTTGTTTCTTTTTGCTTGGCTTATTGTCTGATGTTTTCTTTCGTTGACATTACCTCTTTGGACTACTTTCGTCCGCTCCATTGAGCGCAATGTCTCGTCCTCCCTTGCGTTCGGACGTTGTCTCTGCAAACTGTACTTTCAACCTGTGTTTACTGCCAACGTTCCGAGTCTGGACTCTGCGTCTTGTCAATTATGTGATTTTGGCTTCCCATCGACACGATCAACATTTGCTGACCGTCTCCAACTTCGATATACGGTCCTTTTGTCCTCACATGGCACTTGGCGTCCGATTGATCTACCGCATCGACTACCGCATTCCGGCTAAACTGACATGCAAGCTAGGAAAGATAGCAACAAAATCGAGTCTGGACCTTGCGAGCTTGCCTACCCATCTGCCAGCGGGTCTCTCTCGACATAGACTCTTCTGACTTTCAACTTTCCTGGTTTTTGTTCTTGTGGTGCTCGCTTCAAAAAACATGCTTACAGGGAAGAAGCCTCCAAGCCCACCAGGACCACATAAGACTGGGTCATCTGCAAGCAATCCGGTAGCGCTGATCGGTGAAGCCCTACCTCTCCATCGCCTCTCATCGTCCAATGTCCGGAGAGCACCAGGCCCTGGCCAATCCAAGGTTTCAAATAAGGGCTCTGAGTAGGCCCGCCTTTGTGGGCAAGGGTTGGGTGCGCACAAGTAAAGCACAGTCTCATTTTCGTCCCGTCCACGCCAAATTGGGCTCTTCGTCCGTCATTGCGGAGCGCAGGACCAGCAACGAAAGACAACCCCACCTGTTGGAGGCACCGCGAAACATTCAGAAACTCGGCACTACAAGCAAGAACAGAGCCCTGCTGTCAACCTGTCTGCATATTCGTTGTATAGACGAGATGCATCTGCGGTTGCGGAGGCACGAGAACTTCTACCGAAATTTTCTTTGAACAGAAGCTGGCTCGGACGGGTTTTGTGACTTCCTGCTTTGCACTATAGTCTAAGAGAACAATGGGACGGCCTTTGCCCGTTCTTTTTTTTTCTTTTTTTTCTGGCGATGCATCAGGTCCCCGTTCGGGATTCACGACGCTCGAAGCCTTTCGCCCTCTGTCCACGGACTGGGTAGAATCAAGTATGATGCAGGCATCTAAAGAATCTTTCGTCGCATTTACAACATGCACTTGCGTCGAACAGGCCAAATACAAGGATCACTGCTGGTCAGTGGGCGCGCTACTGTTTCGGGTGCTCAAGCCTCTGGGATCTTGTGTTTCTTATTTCTATGGCGGCTCTGTCAAGGATACCGAAAAGGGCTCAGTGGCCGGTGACACTATGAAGCTACTTCATAATACGGGCGGGCACCTAAGAGCTGCGGCGTCATGGCACAGTCGCATCCTCTCCGCACGCGTCGAGACGCGTCGACACATCGGCACATCGGCACATGTTGCGATCACCGGCGCTCAGCCGCTCGAATGGTTGCCCGAGACTCAGCCACTACAAAATGCTGCTGAATATCAAATTGCTGCAGCTATACGATGTATGTTTGATTTCAAGATCAACTCTTGAGATAGCTTTAGGATGGAGTGTCGACCGCGGCTTCCACAGCTTCCAAACGGACGCTGTTTACAAGCTGCGATACCCACCGCACAAACCCGCATACTTGATGGCTTTGGGACGCCTCTCTTGTCTAGGGCACAAAGCTGGCGGTGGGCCGATCGCAAGGCTGGGAGCCAAAGCAAGGGTGGGGTCATATTTGGGATCGTCCCGGGGCTTGTACAAACGTGTCTTGCCTTGTGAGAAGCAATTGTCTTACGAATTCTACGAGAGCCACAAGGGCAATCATGACACAGATTAGCCACAAATCGCAGACATGGCACACGCCTCTTGGACAGAAAGGTAATGCTTTTCCGCTGTCAAACAGCCAAAGTAGGTACCACAATCAACGTCGGCTCAACGCGGCCCATGCCCGTCTTTTCAATATGGCTATACTCTTTTTTCCATGACAAGTACACCTGCCTACCGTCTCTCTTTTCTCAGCTCCGGCCTTGGACACAAGGTTGCGCAGGCGATGCACCACAAAAAAGTGCAGCTAGAGCCGAACATCGCCATCGGCGACGATGTAGAAATTTAAATCGACCTCATGTGACGTCGAGCTACATCTGGAAATTATCCATATCGCATTGCCACATCGTTTTAACGATATACCGAAGCTATGATGCTGCCTGTCGTCTGGCTGCTATTGTCCCTACTGAGCTGCAGCCGAGCTTTTCGTATCACGAAGGAGGCGACCCGGGTCTCTGCATACAACGATGAGCCTTCTTCTACTGCTTCCCCAGGTATCGTCTCGTGGGACCGCTTCAGCCTCCGCATCAACGGCGCTCGCGTGTTCTTACAGTCGGCCGAGTTTCACTACCAACGTCTACCCGTGCCAGAGCTGTGGCCAGTAGGTTCTCCAAGGTGTCGTTTCGGCTGTCTCATCATCTTGCTAACAATGCAGGATATATTCCAAAAATTCAGGGCCAACGGCTTCAATGCCGTAAGGTAGTGTCTCTCTGTCTCTCGTCATGCAACATTTCTTGTCGTCCACCATTGATGTATTCCATTTGTTATCAACTGCTCTAACAACCCATCTGCAGCATCTACTTCTTCTGGTCGTATCATTCCGCCGCACCCGGCATCTTCGATTTTACCAGCCCTGCCAAAGACGTCCAGCGCCTGCTCGACGCCGCTAAGTCCGCCGGCCTCTGGGTCATCGCCCGTCCAGGGCCGTACTGCAATGCTGAAACGAATGCCGGCGGACTTCCGCTCTGGGGCTCCGATGGCAGTCTCGGGACCGTGAGAACCGACGATGCGACCTACCACAAAGCGTGGCAACCATGGATGTAGGTCGACCCCGCCACTCGATCCAACCCTCGTTGAGTAAATGGAAACTGACAGTACAGCGCGGCCATCGGCAAGATCATTGCCAAAAACCAGATCAGCAACGACGGCGTAAGTCTTCTCAGATGTGTGGATCACGCATCGGTTCTCTTCCTTCGCATACCTTAATAAACTCTTTCTTACTCACAACGCCAGCCCATCATCTTGACACAGGTCGAGAATGAGCTCACCGAGACACGCCATACCGCCAGGGACAGTCTCGTCATTTATATGCAACAACTCGAGGCTGCTCTGCGGGGCGCTGGCATCAACACGCCGCTCACCAGCAACGAAAAGGGTATGCGCGGTGCAGCATCGTGGTCGTCCGATTACCAGGACGTTGGTGGTGCCGTAGACATCTATGGCATGGACAGCTATCCGGGTGGCATGTCGTGCACGAACCGTGCCTCGGGCTTCAACGTGGTCCGCACCTACGGCCAGTGGTTCAGTTCGTACACAGCCTTGCAGCCGGTGTCATTGCCGGAGTTTGAGGGCGGGTGGTTCTCTGGCTGGGGTGGGACATTCTACGACGAGGTACGCGACAAAGTAAAGTTTCTGAACACCGCGATGCCTGATGCTAACCAAACAGTGCGCCGCGGAACACTCGCCTGAGTTTGCCGATGTATATTATAAGGTGAGAAGACAGCGAGGCTGAATGGGAGTGTGGAAGATCAAAAGACATAAGAGGACGTGACTCACATCCGCGAAAACAGAACAACATTGGTCAACGGACCACCTTCCAAAACATATACATGGCTTACGGCGGCACGAACTGGGGACACTGTACGTGCTGCTTTCTCGATTCGTTCCTCGTCTCCTGTCCCTTATCTGACGTCGTTAGCTGCCGCACCGGTCGTGTATACGAGCTACGACTACAGCGCGCCACTCCGTGAGACCCGGCAACAAACGACCAAGCTCTCTCAGACGAAGCTCGTCAACATGTTTGCGACATCGTCACCCGATCTGCTCAAGACAGTAATGCTTGGTAATGGCACAGGCTTCCGGGCCTCGTCGCATGGTGTTTTCACTTGGGTGTTGCAGAATCCGGACTCGGGCGCCTCCTTCACCGTGCTGCAACAGGTCAATACGCCGTCTATGTCAAATATATCGACATCGGTCACTCTAACAACAAGTGCCGGCACGTTTACAGTGCCGGGGGTGGAATTGTACGGCCGGCAAAGCAAGATTCTTGTGACTGACTATGCATTGGGCCAGCATAACAAGAGTGCTCTTTTGTATTCCTCTGTTGATATTGCCACGAGCGAATACTTTGGGCACGAGACAGCGCTAATACTATACCTCAAAGAAGGCCAAATAGGCGAGTTTGCCTTCCGGGGCGACAGCAACCTGACCTACACTGTGTTTGGCAGCTTAAAGGTGACAGCCATCACGAGACAACCGAGGGGCTCTTCCTCGCTACAGCAGGCATTTACATACACCCAGAGTGCAGGCGCAAGTGCTGTCTTATTTTCCAATGATGTACTCGTCTACATTTTGGATCAAGCCACAGCCTGGCGGTTCTGGGCACCGCGTGATGGTGACAACAGCTTTGATGTGGCCGGCTCAAGCCGTGTGTTTATCCTCGGTCCCTATCTTGTCCGGTCGGCTCGCATTGACTGGGCGGCCGGTGTGCTGTATGTCCTCGGCGACAGCGACTCTGCAACGACGCTAGAAGCATTTGTAGGTAGCGGAGGTGGCAAGATAATTAACACCGTCAACTGGAACGGCAAAACACTGCCGGCTACACGGACACCATATGGAAGTTATCGAGCCGCCATCTCTGGTGGGCGGGATCGCGTTTCCAACGGAAACGTTACACTCCCAAAACTTACAGAGTGGCATGCTGCAGACTCTCTCCCAGAGACGCAGTCCGACTACGACGACAGCCGATGGACAGTCTGCAATCATACGACAACGCACGGTCCCGTGCCACCCGTCACGCCACCCGTTCTCTTTGCCTCTGACTACGGCTTCTACGTCGGAGCAAAGGTATACCGCGGACGCTTTCTGTCGACGGGGCCGACGCCAAGTGCGGTCAATATCACGGCTTCTGGTGGTCAAGGGTTCGGGTGGACAGCCTGGGTCAACGGTCACCTGCTTGGTGGCAGTCCGGGCGTGGCCGGCCAGGCCACAACGTCGGCCGTATTGAGGCTGCCGACGGATGTGATCAACATAGAGAAGGGACGAGACAACGTTCTTACAGTGCTGGTCGATTACCATGGCCACGATGAGACGTCGACACGCAATGGGCTGAACAATCCGCGTGGCCTGCTGGGCGCGAAGCTTTTGTTTGACGAATCAGACAAGGACAGAAATTCCCGTGCCACCGAGGCCTCTTCTGGCTTTACAACCTGGAAGATAATGGGAAATGCAGGCGGCTCTGCCAACATCGACCCAGTACGCGGTCCGATGAACGAAGGCGGCCTCTATGGCGAACGCCTTGGCTGGCACCTGCCTGGTTTCAGTGCGGCTACTGATGGCAAGTTTAGCAAGAGCAGTCCCACAGATGGCATCAAGGATGCTGGCGTGCAGTTTTATGTCACCGAGTTCATGCTTGCTGTTCCCACTGATCTCGATGTGCCACTCGGCATAGAGCTCGCTGCGCCCGTCGGTACCATTGCCCGTGTTCAGCTATGGATCAACGGCTACCAGTACGGTAAATATGTGCCGCACATCGGCCCCCAGACACGCTTCCCTGTGCCACCGGGCATCTTGAATATGCATGGCAACAATACGCTCGCTCTGAGCCTGTGGGCTATGACGTCCGCCGGCGCGCGGTTGGATAAGGTTGCTTTGGTGGGGTACAGTGACGGTGGTGACGGCAATAACGAGGACATAATGTCAGCATACGAGACAACGTTCTTTGCCAACGCAGAGCAGTGGGCGGCGAGCAGCGCCAGTTTGCAATTGCCGTGGACCGACCGAAGCGAGTTTGCATAAGATTTACAGAGTGTCAGGTTGGGACAGAAAACAAGCCAAACCATCAAATTCTCGGCCGGCACAAATTCAGTCATCATTTCCGCACAATTTCTTCAACAAAAGAGATTACACGCCTGTCTTCATTCACACGGTGAGATTACACAGGCCGCATGCTATGGGAGTACACGCCTGCAGCCATTTGAAGCCCCCTTTCCATTGGATCTTCTTCTCTCCTCACCTCTTCTACGCCACTTTTGGGCATACAGGCGCCTACGGTACACCATGACAGCCACCACTTGCCAAGCCACGTGGTGTAAATGTTTGTGAGACATGTGTGTTCAGTGTTGCTCTATATGAAGTCATTTACCGTATTACGACTTGGCACCTTCGACATTCGGCCAACCTGGGCCGTCTGTTGGTTGTTTATGGGCTCGCGTTTTAAATAATTAAATATGATGAAAATGGGTGTTGTCATTCTACACCGCAGGTAATACGTCTTTTTTATTGTTTTGTTTAATCGGCCAAGCGGAAAGAGGTATCGTTATGTCGCTACATGTGCCCTGTTGTGATATAGTGACCCGTTCGGATTTCTGAGAGGGCCAGCAGATCCTTGTCAAATCAATATAAAAAATGCCACATACCGTAATTCGGAGCCAAGATGTCACTATTGAAAACTTGTGAGATGATGGATGGTTGACCCAATAACAGCACCGCATTCGGCGTAGTGCGTTTTTCGGTTTTGTATATTTTACATTGTTTTCTTTCTTATCGTTATTCGGTTATTGTACATACTGTTCGAATCATTTTAATTATCTATTGAACTTTTTTTTTGTTTTATTTTGTTTTATAAGAAAAGAGAATTATAAACTCGGGGCTCTTGAAAACTAAAGTGAAAAACTTCGCCAAAAAGATACATTTCCCACTAGATCTTATTATCAAATATATCGTACGCCGTGTTTTATCTCTCTATCTCACAATGCGATACCACTTTTCTATTTTTGTTTTTGTGTTTTTTTCTGTTCATATTCAACATCGTTCCTTCGCTGGGTACGCGCCTATCGGCTCATTTTTTGATTTAATATGGCCCGCTTTTGTGGAGTCTTTCATCCGAACATTACGTCGTCCACATACTGTGCTCCAGCTCCTTTCCTCACACGACGTGCCTGCCAAATAGAGAGTAAGAGCAGTACGACATACCATGTACAGTAGCACTTGCACCTTCTGCATGTGCCACTCACTGACGCCTTCCCTTTGGGATTGCGAAACCTACGATTAAGAAGGAAGGAGCGCGTCTCAAGCAGTCGAAAGGCAAATAAACAAAATTGCCACGGAGGGAAGAAGCAAACTACGTACTTTTCATTTCCTCCCGTTGCTTTAACATCTCCAGAGCCGGTGGCGATGACCAGCGCCGGTCCCGAACGGTCACACCACAGTCAATTCTTTTGCACCGTTTTTACTCTACCCACCCGCAGGTCAACTTAGCGCAAAGCGTACCTGCGTATCCGCTTCGCGCATCCGAAGGTGGAGGATCCAATTTCGCCAATCATCCATTTTGGGAAGCCAATCTGATGCTCGACCGCGCTCCATGCGTGGCCCTCTTTGCTCTAGGCTGTCTTGTCTATGTGGTTACGTCGTACGACGTTTGCCCCTGGCTCAGGAACGGCCAGGAGCAGTCACAACGGGTAGGGGCAGCCAAGCCTGCCCGCTGCACTCTACGAAGTAATACTGGCACAGACATGCCTGCACCCACGTTCCCAGCGCCGATCCTTTCTCTCTTCGCTGGCGTGAAAGAGGAGTTGAGAGCGACGCTTCCAGAACCTTAGCCCACCTCCCGCCTTTGACTCTGGCGAAGGCTCTATTTTCCGGCAGCAAACGCTGAGAGCAAACATGTGCGGCAGCGATGGCGAGCAGCTCTGTATCACATAACTTGTGAGTCGGAGAGCGCTATTTTTTTTTTAAAAAAAAAAATATGCACGGAGTACAAACATGCACGGTACTTTCACAGAATAACGTGCAAAATAGGTGTCTGCCCTACGGCGTGCAGATGCAAAACTTGGAGACAGACATGGCCCGCACTGACTAGACATGGGGTTGGATGTGTCTGGTTTGTCCATGATTTGATGGCTTCTGCTCATTCAAGGCCATCGGAATGTGGCTCTGTGTGCGAACGGGTAACCCAAGATGGCCCACCAGCAGGCTTGCCCTATCACCAACTGTCCCCGATTGCGCCAAAGAAAAGACGGACGTGATGCGGACGGACGGAAGAGAAAAAGGCCCACCGAGCACTGCATATATGCGTACCGCACCAACCTCCCAGCTACGCTGTTCAGTCGAGTGAGCGGCCAAGACTGGCCAGACCAGGGCCAAGACTGCCAATAATCCAGGCTCATCCCGCGGCCATCCAATGTGCCTTGGAAGTACAACATACACCGTACCTAACCATAGAGAGCTGGGTGACAAGTTGCCAGAAGAAACCGATACTGAGAAAACCGCGACGAAAACAAGAGCGAGACACAGGACGATAGAATCAGCGACAAAAAGAAAGAAGAAATGGAACACGGAGAAAGGCGCAAAAGGCCGGCCCAAAAAAAGGAAATCACGACAGCAGCACGTCGTATTGATTTTTAGACATCACCAAACACTCACTTTGCAACGGTGCCACGGAGACTTCCATCTGCATTTGATTTCTGAACTGGGACCCCCATGCTCCTCCACATGCCACCTGGACAGGCCAAGCCCGATTTCTATTTACGAAAACGGAGTCTAGGGAGGATACGTGCCCAAAATGTGCCATGAACGACGCTAACTGCAACGGTCTGAAAAATGTGTTGTGTCCAGGGCTAGAACTTGGGCGGCGGCTGCTGAGGTGGACGGGGATGAGATGTGATTCCAGCGTTCTTTGACTTGTAGGTGCGGACAGTCTTCTTTCTGTTTTATTTCTTCCCGTTGTCGAAGTGCCACCAATCGCTTATGCCTCTCACAGCCTCGACTCACAGATTCTGTACTGAGTATTACTCCGTACGCGCTGCTGGCCCAAGACGCTCATCTCCCGTTGATGACAAGTTATGCAGCATTGGTCTGGCCCCTTTTCGAGCCACACTCCAATGAACCCTGCTCAGGTACCACTTCCATCCTGGGCCCAAAATACACAGGTACGGTGCCGCCAAGCCGTTACTGTGCACCTGCGCGAACGCACCCTGGTCACCCTCCACCATCGTATTGGCACCTCGCTCACCCCGACTTTACCTTTTTTGTCCGCCGTCCCCATCCAGAACGCTCCAAAACTTCAATGGCTGCAGTTCAGCCCCTGGCCAAAGGTCCCACTCATTGGTTCCAAGAGGCCTGAGTACGACAGTACTTCCCGGAAGTTAACAGCGTTTTTTTGCATGGGCGAGTATTTTTCTTTGTTGACGAAGGATCTGTTGCTCTTCTGCTCGCCAATACTTTTCTGGCATTTTCGGGCTTGGTCCCTTTTTGCCAGGGCCCCGCGGACAGCAGTCGTGTTTTCTGTGCCTGTTTTCATTCTTCGTTCGACTTTCCTTTCACATCTCCATTCCCATTTTTATTCCGTTTAATGAGCCGCCTTGCCGAATGAAGAATTTGGATCCAATATCTTGAGCAATACCGCCCCATACGAGCCCACGCATTTGTTGTCCTATCCGCCCCGAGCACCGATCCTGTTTTCCATCCCAACTTTGTCAACCTGCTTTTTCAACGTCTCTTTTGAGGACCAAACGCTCTTTTCAGTTTACTCTGCTATTTCTGGGCCTCGCTGCCCGGCCTCCCTGACCACAAATCCTACAAATGCGCGTCTGCTCTCCTCCTTGCTCCTCCCAGAGTGTGGCTTTTGTCAACCGTCGTCTGATCCCTTGTCTGCTGCCCTACAAGTTCGGCCGCCCCTTGCACACATTCCCTTGACGTTTTGATTAACCGTGCTTCTCTCTCTCGTTTTTATCGCTTCTTCCCCTTGGTCCCCTGCCTTGCAAGCCTGCCGCGGCATTATCATTTAAATCAATCCTCGCCCATTTACCCAGATTGGCACTTTCACTCCACCGCCCATCCCAAGCAAATCGACGAAATCGATCCACGTCAACAAGAATAAACCGGAATCCGACCGACCTTTTTCAATCTCGCTTTCCATCTTTGCTATATTCTAATAAGACAGCCGAGTATAAGAAACAAAAGGGCTTGGCCTTGCGTCCATCGAAACAAAACGAACACACGACCAAACAAACCAACGAAGAAACGTTGCCTTGATCACAACAAAGCACGGAAACAGACAGCTCAGAAAAGGCGACAACGAAAGATTTCTTGCGATTTTGAAGCTCGTCTTTTGCTTTGGTTCCTCGGTGTTTGCCGCCGACACAATCACAGAAGCAGAAAGCGATCGACCCTGGCGCTTGCTTGATTCGCGCCAACAGACTGAATCGAGTTTGCTGGCAAGACGACGACGACAGACTCAACGAAAATACAGATCCGATCATTTTTTCGCAACTTGATCCGATTTTCACTGCTTCTTTTGCATCCGATTGCCTCTGGCTGTACTTTGTCACCGAAACCGAGTGATGTTCCATCTACCCTCGGCCGTCTAATTCTGCAGCTTCCACAAAGTCTTTGGGGATCGACGGCGCCTCCCGCCGCTACACAAAGTTTGCGAATGTCGATCGCTCTGCACACCATGACTTCTGTATCACAACACCACAAACCCCGGATACTTTCCTGGCGGTGCACAACAACAGCTTTTCTTTTTCTCGCCATAAACACAGTTTTCTTTTCCGCCGTCGCTGCTGCGGTAGCAGAACCAGACCGCATGATCGCGGACACTGTTCTCGTATTCCCACGATCGTCGACCACCACCGTCCCTGCCGCACTTGCTGCCGAGACACTCCTTCGAGATGACCGTATGCCGGTCAAAGTGAACGGCCAATGGATGTTTTTATCACAGGACGAGATGGTTGAGCTGCGGAAACGGAACGACATTGGCACAGCCGTGACCACCGCTCCTGGGACGGCGGGCGAAACAAAGGGCGACGCCACCACCGTGACGCCGACCACAAAGACAACTAGGACGGCAGCATCCTCGCCGCTCCCGAGCTTCTTCGATAGCAGCCTTGCATCCAACTTCTCGAACGACTCGGCGTGCCCAGCATTTATCAACTCCTTTCTCACGAACCCCACATTCAAGCAATGCTACCCATTCTCTCTTCTTCTCCAGGTAAGCAACCCCATTTGACATGTTTCCACCTCTTCTCTCACATGTCCATTTACTCACCGATAAACCACAAACTAGGGTTCGCGGTCATTTTTCCAAGCCGAAAAGTCACTTGTGTCCATCACGCAGGTCCTGGACGCGACGTGTGCGGCCAACGCCACGTTCTGCACCTCCTACCTCAACCGCCTCGCAACCAATCTCACCGACGCCGCCAACTGCGGCGCAGACTATAAGCTGGGCAACTCCATTGTAGTACAGGCATACGACGGCATGATTGGGTACCAGCCGCTGTACGCGGCGTCTTGTCTGACCGACCCGGACACAGGAGCCTACTGCTTCGCCAATGCCATCACCAACTTAACCACCACGGCCAACGTGTACTTTTACTACCTGCCGCTCAACAGCTCGCTGCCGACAAGCGGCTCCGAACCGTCCTGCAACTGGTGTCTCAAGCAGACCATGGCTGTGTATCGGTCAGCGGCTGCCGACCGCAAAAAGCCCATTGCCAGTACGTATCTGTCGGCCGCACAGCAGGTCGACACAATCTGCGGGCCGGCGTTTGTCAACGACACATTGCCAGCAGCCATTGTGTCCAACGCCGCGTCTTTGGCAAAGGGGCCGTCATTGCACTGGCTGGCACCCGCTCTATTAATCAGCGTCGCCGCATACCTGATATGAGTCGACTTTCTTCCGAGGAGACGCTCTCTTTTTATTTCATACATCATTTACACGACCATTTACGGGAACGCAGGAGTTACACTGTAATTTGCTTTTTCCCTTTTCTGGTACATTTTTTTTTTATGTTTGTCTTTTCTTTTGTCTTTCATTATTACATTGGGATATGTCCGCTGGCGGCGCGGACAAACGATTTCAGGGCCTCTTTTTTGATATGCACCACACAGCACACACGGCGCTTAGTTACGATACCCACGCTTTTCTTACCTCCTTTGCCCTTTTGTTCTTCTCCAACTTCCCACCTTATTTTAATCGACGGTTGGTTTTCCTATTGGAATGGACTTGTACAATAAAAAAAGACGGTTCAGCATTACTTTGGCTCACTGGTCTTTTGGCTAGTTGACAGGACTTGGTTTATACTTCTTGGACATTCTTGTATATATATATATATATTACATGGCGATACAGTCTGCACTCCGGTGACAGGATAGTAAAATGGTCGCTTGATACCATCAATCACGCAAAAGTACAATTCATCATTTGATCCGTGTAAAATTCATGTTGGTCTAAATTCACAATGTCGCTGCCTGTCAGATATATAATATGGAACATAACCAAACCGTTTCCACCACGCCATGCGCCGCCGTGCTCGCCACGCTGATCTCAGCGGCCTCACCGCCGCAGGAATCCGGCGTTGACTGGCTTGCCGACTCGGTGCCGTACCTGCAGGCTCTGCTTCATGTTGCGTGCCGCTTTGCCCATCTTGGGTGCCAGCGTCTTGGGACCGGTCTCGGCCAGCAGCCGGTACACGGTCGTGCCCAGCTGGCGGTCGCGGGGGTGTGCCTTGGGCTTGCGTGGGCGCGTGGCCTGGAGGCCCTTGGACACTGCTGTGGCGGGAGTGCCCGTGGATGTTGACGTGGTCGTCTTCGTCGTGGCCTTGCCCGGGACATCGTCCTCGCCCTCGCTGTCGGAATCCAAAAACTCAAGTGGCAGCAGCTTGGACACCGACTTTCGTGGCTGCTGTGCCTCTTTTGCCCTCTGAGCCTCCGCTGCTGCTGCTTCTTCTTCTTCTGCTGCTGCTGCTGCGGCGGCCTCGGCCGCGGCTTCTTCTCGTGCCTTGCGCGCCCCGGCCTGTGCCTTGAGGCGGGCGTCTTTTTCCTGGCGCTTGCGTTTCTCGTCGGCGGCGCGTCTGTAGGGTATGGAGTTAGCGAAAAAAAAAAAAAAATCGTAAAAAAAGAGAAGCAACGGCAAAATAATAGGTTTGCGTTGGCATACTTGTCTGCTGCTTTCGACGCTTTCTGGGCCGAGTGGCGGGTTGCGGCGGCGGCCTGCACCGTCGAAATGGCCTCGGGAGCCTCGTCGTCGCTGTCCGCAGCGTCTTCTTCTTCTTCGTCGGCGTCCTCCTCGTCCTCTGCCTTCTTCGCCTTCATCTTGTTTTCTTTCTTCTCCTCCGTCGCCGCTTTGCCCTCTTTGGACCGCACCGGCAGCTTCCGGCGCTTCGTCGCGGGCGACTCCTCCTCCTGCATCGGCGCGGCATCGGTCATGGGCGCATCGCCGCCGAGGGTAGTGTCGTCCTCGCTGCCTCCGCTCTTGCGCTTGGCCCGCAGTTTGGCCGCGGCGCTCCGCGTCATTGGGGAGCTCTGTGCAGACGGCATTTGCGAGGATGCGGTTGGTTTTGTTTTGTCTCGTGCCAATTGCCGAAGGATAACCTGAGCCTCGTCAATGCATAAACCCGTAAAATCGTAAAAATGCTATGGTTCGGCTGCTGTATTGTAAGAATAATTGGTAGAGATAGATGCTGGGCCGTTAAAAGTGGTGATGTAGAGTCGGCTAGCAGCAAAAAAAAGTTGCTTTCTGCATTTTCATTCTGATAAGATTTTTTTGGGCAGCCTTATCGCAATAGGCCCAAGAACGACCTGTTGGCTGAGCTTGACGCCTGAGCCTATGATTGGCTGGTTTCAGCAATAGCCCCACTAAAACCAACAATGTCAGGACGGCGGAATTACTCCCTACACTCAGTTCAGGGACAGCTGTCAATACTCTCATAATCTTGTCATTTCTCCTCTTCATTATATAACGGTACACACTTGTGCATAGGACGTTACAGAATATACAGAGTCGGTTAAAGTCAGGCTGCGGCCACATTGTTTTCGCCGACAAAGATGACCCCCGTTCGAAATCGACCCACTTTTATCTTTTCCCTAGAGATTCCATTGGTCCAGCGCCTCCCACTTGCTCCATTTCAAGCTTCAGCGCCCCTCTATTGTTTCGACTTCGCCTTTCAACGACACTCAGTCGAAGCCGTTTCTGCAGCAAGAGCCACAGCGTCGCCATGAACCCAATAGCTCGATCGGCGACCGCAATACCCCTGTCAGGCCGCGCAGCAGTGAGATGCTATAGCCAGGGCGTCGGTACCGCGTCTGCTGCAGTTGGAGTCGGAGCTGGAGGCAGGGCTGTCGGCCAAACGCCGTCACGCGTCACTGTGCCGTCCGCATGCTCGTGCGGTGGTGCTTTCTCCTCACAGATACTACCGCTTCAGATTCGCCGTGGCGCAGCACGGTCTGCGGGCAGGCGGTCGCCCACAGTCCGCCGAGCACAGAATGCCGCCAGCAGGACCAGTAGGGGGAGTGTTGGTGGTGGTGCGAGCTCCGGCCCGAGCACGGCTGGTGCTTCCGGTATGTTCCCCAAGGATCCGACGAGTCTCCTAGCGGCACTGAAAGTTGGAATGGACTCCTTCGAGACGGATTTGACGGAGGAGGAGTGTGCCCAGGTCATTGTGAATGTCCAGCGGCTCGAGCACAGTAGGGCGGCTGTCAACGAAGCTGCTCTTTTGAGGGGTGAGTAGTACCTCGCAGATCCTTGGCGTTGTGGCTTTGTCATATTGTCGTGTTTTCTTCCGCGTGCGCCCGACGATTGCCGTCTGCTGACTCGCTAGACTATAACCTTACCCCCTACAAGCTGCACACCGTCGGCGTGCTCCTGCTCGTTGGCAACGCCAGTGTCCAGGAATCCACGCAGTGCTTTATGCTGGCGACGTCGATGATGCACATGGCGGCTTCGATGGGCAGCGCCGGCTACATGCCGTCGGTGCTAACCATCATCAATCTCTTTGGCGTCGACATGACCAAGGCGGGCCAGGCGCAGGTCGCCCTCGCCGCGCGATTTCGCGATTCGCACATTTTCCAGTCCGCCGAGGAAAAATTTCTGGCGTACCTGGCCAAGGCCAATGCGGGCGGCGACAGCCTAGACCTCGTCACCAAGGCCAACGCGTTCACGCTGTCTGGCCTGCTGGCAGAGGCGTCGGGTAATCTGCCACGGGCGCTGCGGTGGTTCCAGGCAGCGCGGTCGGTCGGACACGGCATTGGTAGTGGCTCTGATGTTGGCTCTGGCTCGTCTGTTTCGGCGGGCAATGGAGACGTCCTGCCGCGGGATCCAAAGTGGGACTGGGAGCGCAAGTGTCTCGAGGCCATTGGTCGGCTGCAGATGGATGAGGCCAACGTGGTGACGGCCCAAGAGGCCCGTGAAGCATTACGCACGGCCGCGCTGGCTCTCAACAGCGGCAAGGCCTGCATGCTGTTGGCGACCGCGTATGCTCGCGATCCCGCTGATCGGACTGAGGCGCAAGACGCGGAGCTAGACACAATCTTGCAGCGTGCGGCAGTTGCTGGCGAATTCGGTGCAATCAAGGAGCTGGCCGAGCGTGAGGCAACAAAGGCGAATGATTCGGGCATGGGAAAGGACGAGGCAGCCTTTCATTTCCAAATGGCAGAAGAATGGCGGCGGTTAGCAGAGGCTTATGCAGCGACTGAATCGGAACAGACCGACTGACGGCTGTAGTATATGACGATGCCACGTATAAACGCAAGCCAAATAAGGCATTCGATACCACTGGAAGACATGGAGAACGCATGATGATAAATATGTAGATAGGCAGTGTCTAAATTGATACGCAAAAGCAAATTCCTTTTCACGGAAGCCTTTTGTCTGGCCTCCTTGGTCGTCCGAATAACCCAGCCCGGACAAACTCCGCTATGAATCAAACACCAAAAGAAATAGTGACCAAAAAACAAATAGCATTTCCATCTCATGATTCCATGGTCACCCCAAAGGATAAAGTGACCGTGACGAATGCGCCTCCCAGTTCTGTTGATGTCCTGGGCTGTTCGTAGGAAGGGGAATAAGAGGCAGGACTAGAAAAAAAATATATAAAAAAATAGCCAAAAAAATGTACTCATGAAGGGGTATGACCGGTTGAAGAAAGAGGAGATTAAAAAAAAAGTCCAGAGGGTTGGCCCCTACGATCTCTTCGCACGCTTCCGGCCTTTGCCTGCAGTCGTGCCATCGCCGGCCTCGTCGTCTTCTTCGCTTTCCTCGCGACCATGAGCAGCGCTGGTCTTGTCGTTGCCCTTCTTGATCGATATAAGGCAACCTTGCTCCTTGAGACGCTTGGTCAGGGCCGTGCTGGCTTGCATTCCAGGGAAGTCCTTGGCATTATAGACGGTGAAGACATCGCTCATAGCCGTGGCCATGATAGGCGATGAGCCGCCAGCACGCATACCCAGGGGATCTAGGACCACAAGCGCAAACTTGAGGCGAAATGAGCCTGGTGTGCGGCAGGACAGGTCCGGGAAGCAGAAAAAACAACCCTCCTCGCCATTTTCATCCTGGCCCACAAAGGGCGATGAGACCAACGTGCCCATGAGTCGGCGCTGTTGGCGGTAGTCTTCCGGCATGGCTGAGTTGTCCTGCTCTCCTGTCTCATTCCAGATGGAGCAGTGCAGCACCGTGAACTGAAAGCGAAGGCGCATACTGATCTCTTCTGGTGTTGCATCTGGGTCGTCAATGGTGAGCTGCACAATGGGAGGCGGATCGATGACACGACGATCACGTTCGCCAAACCCGCACGATCGTGCTGCTATTGGCTGCTGCCGAACCTTGATGCGGTACTCCGAGTTGACGACCGACTGAGCCGGGCTCAGCATTGGCGTCTTGGACGCTGTGCT